ATCTGCATGAAGAATTTTAAAAAAAAAGAAAGAAAGAAAACCACACTTAACTCAAAGGGACATTTACACCCCTGCTTTTGTTACAGCACTGTTTACAATAGCCAGATAATGAAAACAACCTAATTGCCCAAAGGACAAAGGAGTGGACTAGGAAAATGTGGTATATACACAGAATGGAATACTACTTGGCTATATAAAAAGAGATGAACTCTTGCCATTTGTAACAATGTGACTGGAAGATAATATAAGAGATAGAAGTAAAAAAGGAGAAAGGCAACTATCACTTATAGGAGATATAAGTAACAAAGAGAAAGAGAAATACGATTTTATATATTGCAATTAAAATGTACATATTGGGCCCTCCCTGGTGGAGCAACGGGTAAGGCCACAGCATTGCAAGCTAGCTGCAGCTGCTTCGGTGCGAGTTCTGTCCCCAGCCCCAGAGGTGACCCACATGGCACAGCAGACCTCTCCTGACCCACCCACTGCTACCCTCGGCGGTGTATTTCCTCCATCAGCCTGTTCTGCTCCCCACTCTGTCTCTGGTGAATCCTCTCACCACCCCTGCACCTCTGCCCTGTCCCCAGTTTTGTATGCATAAATAAATAAATCTTTTTTAAAAAATGTACATATTAACTCCCAGGGGTATTATTAATAACAATGAAAATGTCACACTATCTTACCAGAAGGAATATATTACAGAATCAAGGTCCCAGACTGAGACTCCTGTTTTCAACTAAACTTCAGGTCCCTAATCTTAGCTCCCAAATGTAAGTAAGGAGACTTTTGCCAGAGATGGATGGAGGTAAGTACACTGCAGATATAGTTGCCCAAGACCTGCCATGCGTCTTGCTGTCACAAGTGTGGCATATAAAACGATGCATCCTCTAAGTCCCTATGACTTCATACCTCCTTCTATCACATCCTTCATTGATTCCTTTAGTTTGATGTAGGAAAGAAGCCTAGTATTTACAAAGGCCATAATATATTGCTAGACTTAAAAAAAATGGCATGAGTTGTGGTTAAGCTAGATCTGCAACAATTATCTGTGCCAATAGTTCAGAGAACAGGAGGAACAAAAAGCTTTGAAGACTAAACAAAAAGAATTAATGAGGCCTGGATAAAGTTATAGTGACTCATTAGATAAGACTAGAATTGGATAGTCCATGAAAGTGCCTTAGGGAAATGTATCTTAATACTTGGGGATTATGAAGTCTGCATACAATCTCCTGTGGTAAGGAACCTAAGGATAAAGTTAAGAATTTCGGAAATTTCTCATTATGTTCAACCAGATAGCTAGATTTCAACTACATTGACAAATAAATGATTGATACTTACTTAAAAGTTGCCTGTATATTATACCTAAGGCATAAATCAAAAAGGTTATATAATTAGTATAGTTACTTTCTCTGTACTCAACTATACTTAGAATAGTTTATAGAACTAAAATTCAAGTCTTCCTACCTGAGCTATCTATCAGAGCTTTGTATCCAGGACAAAACTTTATTGGATGTTTATTTTTGTTTTATTCTGCAACTTAGAGAAGTATCTTGCAACTTGAAATCCATAGATTTTTAGTTTTACATTGGCCAAATGTGGAAAGAATTCAGACAATACACTGGATCAAATACAGATCATTTCAATATATATTTAAGTGGATCTTGAAATCACCTCCCAGTTCCCACAAACCCTATACATCCTCTTCTTCTTTTTCTTTTTTTTTGGAGTGAACCGCTTCCCTTTTTCTGAGTGAGTACAGGTACTTTGAGGTGAAATCTGAGTTCTGATTTCAATCACTGAGTAATGTCTCCTGCTGCACATGCAGAAACACAACTTGCAGTGTGTTTATTTTGTGAACAAACAGGAAATTGTGCTGTTTGATAAAACATGTGAGTTAAATCGTCAAATTTTTGTCCTATTATGATTATACATTAAATTCATGCATTTATTATGCATTAAAGATAGCAATAGAGAGCTATTGCTCTCTATACACGTGCGAAATAATTTGTTTTCACTGCTGTTGTTGAAGTATTTGTGATGACATTTAAGGCTGACTGGAATGAAATTAGGTTTGACCACTAGATTAGTGACTGATAATTGATGAACAAATTTTTAACTCTTTAATAATATATTGATCTGTTGACAGCAAAGTGCACTTAAATGTAATATTTTCATCATGCGTTCTTCACTTAATATTTTCAAGTTGTGAAAAATTAGAAAGTTATTTGTGAGTAAAAAAGAAAAAACCAAACAGACAAACAAAAACCACTGATAGGAAAGTTGGGTATTGGAACACTTTTAATTATATTCCCATTGTGCTTTTCTTATCTAAAAGTTAACACTGGCTATAATGTGTCCATGAAAAAGTATTTATGCTTTACATTATAATCCCTATATATAAAATGGGGATTGTAATTTAAAAAATGCACATTAGAGCTACATAGACACTTCCCAAAAGAAAGCACAGAGATGGCCAATGGGAACATGAAAAAAAATTTCAATACTGCTTATCGCGAGTAAAATGCAAATCAAAACCACAACGAGCCACCACTGCACACTTGTGAGAATGGCCCATATCAAAACGAACAAGTGCTGGTGAGCTGTCGAGAAAAAGGAACCCTCTATACAAGGCTGCTGTTGGGAATGTAGACTGATCCAAACCTATGGAGGTTTCCCAAAATAATATAAGATCTGACATATGACCTAGCAATTCCACTCTTAAGTATCTATTGAAGAATATAAAAACGCTGACTCAAAAGGCAATAAGCACTCCCATGTTCAAAGCAGCACTATTTACAAAATGAAACTTACCTAAGCCCAAAAAGTTGTGGAGTGTGTGTGTGTGTGTGTGTGTATGTGTATATACATATATATGCACATATACTGATACTGATATATATATATATACATATATAATATAAAATACAACTCAACTATCAAAAGATAAACTTTTAACATTGTGACAATATGGATGGACCTGGAGGGTATTAAACTAAGTGATATAATGCAGAAGGAGAAAGACAAATGCCAAATGGTTTCGCTGGAATACAGAGAAACAAAACAAAGGGCTAGATAAGACCAAACCGATCGCAACCCCTAGAAATCTGACAGTAGGAGAGGCTACATGAAGGGGAAAGGGAGAGGTGAGAACAAAGCTTGGTGGAGCACAGTGGAGTATGTTGGAGGACTGTGGGTGTGTTGGTGGTGAGAGTGATATGGTAACACCTAAAAGGGAAAACCTACACTTCTAAAACACAGATGATGTTGTGAACCAGTACTAGCTCAATAAAAAACAAATAAATAGAGGATTATGTAACTTTCCTATTTCACTGAGATCTGTTGAACAGGATAGTAGTTCATAGTCATCCTATTCCAATTCAAAAATAAGAATATGAAAAAGCTGGCTGCAAATAATACAAGTTATTATTAACCAGTTTACCACGAAGCTTATCTTTTCAGAATTTAATTATTCCTCAGTGTGAAACTAGCTGAATTCCAAATGTAGTGTTACATATTTAAAACTGAATGCACATAAGTTCCATAAAATACATGTCCAAGGAGAAGGATACAGGCATTTGAAATTCTTTCCCCCTAGAAAGGGGAAGAAAACTTTGCATAGTTCCAATTCATTTTGACCCTGATTCTCCATTTTCATTCAGGAAGACAGAGTAAATGTTATTTTGAGGAGGTAAATGATTTTTTATGAATCTATAAAAGGTACAAATAGAAAATATTCAATTCTGTATGTATGGGTCTCTCTATGAAGAGTCATTCAAAAGATAGATTAAAGTAGGTTGGGTATACCCTGGGAGTTATGTATTTTTTGTTCTAGAGTTGGTTTTTGTATGCGTTGAAAGTTTAAGACTTTTAAATTTAATCAATCAACATTTCAAATATGTCCTTAATAGCTATACCTACTGACGTTTCAGAATTAGGGAGAAAATGCTTATAATCAAACTGAAACACAAATTTTGGAAACATAACTTCTTAAAATAATAAAATACTAAATTTCCATTAATCCTATCTTCTGTCAGCTCATCTCTCACAGGAATTACTGTGCAACTATACCTTCCCTATTCCTGTATATCAGTATGCTTACTAACTTATATTTACTAAGTGGTCTTTCACTTGCTCAGTAGCTTCACCATTGTTGCTTGGTAGTCCACCAAGGATAATCACGGCTCTTACATATCAACTTGAATTTTTCCAGATCATCTGTAATTGCTTTTAAGACCACTTAATCTATTCTTCCATCCACCATCACTCTCAGACTCACCTTTTCTTTAGCTCCAGTCACATTTACTATATCATATATCTTTGCCTCTTTAATAATAATGAAGCTTCTTATATCTTGTCATGTATTTTACTTTTTTTCTAATTCACATGCTATTTTTACTTGTATTTGGTGTAAATGCATTATACAAACCAACAAATGCAGACAATGCACACTAATATGAGGGTAAATATTAAACTGAAGGGGTATAAATACTAGCTTATGAAACTGAATTTATGTATCATTAATAATATGAAATAGAGGTGAATTTTAGAAAAAGTGTACATGTTTTCTGTAATTTATTTTCAGTGTGAAGGTCATCTTACTTAGTTCCTCCCTGCTACATAATTTTCACAGTACTATCTATTCATCCTTCTCAGGCTCCTTTCCTGAAAATGCAAAGAGAACTCTACCTCTCAACACCATATGGCCTGTCCCATCTGCAAATATCGGCAGACATATCTAAGTGTATCTACTGAAAGCCCAAGAACATACTGAGTTCACAAATAATAATAGTGATACGGGAAGTGAGAGGAGAGTGTTGTGGGGATTAAGTCTGAAAGCACAAAAACCCTCAGAGGTAAACAAGCACATTTACAAAACACGTAATTTCAAAAGTGTTGCATACATAAAATCTTCTTCCTAAACCTAATTACACAAATTATTCAAATATAGCAACTGGAGGTATTATTACTTATGCGACAAACTAAATGAAAGAAGGTCTTACGGTGATGATTCCAGAACGATGCTATTAGCTTGTGTTGAGGATGGAGATCTGTGATTTATAAATACTTCACTTGGGGAAGTATGAACCATGTGGTCTACTAAATGACCAACTGAAGATGGTCGCAACCGGGCTCCCTCTTGTGTGAATGCAGAATTTCGACTATATGAAAAGAGAAAAATGGATTAAAATGTTTTTGATTCATTTTTTAGTGTCTTAATCATATGATTATATTAGAAAGAGGGTGTGTGCTTAAGACTACCTACAATGACAAGCTCAAAGATAGTGTAATGTAAACATATAACACAGAACAGGAAGTCAGAGATCTGAACTGTAGTCAACAATCTACAGCAAAAATACTACCTATTCATCTAACAATCTCTCTACTGACCTTAATGTTTCCAGGTTTTAGTCACTACATTTTTAGGTATTAATTAGTATCCATAAAACAAAGAGCTAGAGTAATTTAGAAATATCTTCTGACCTATTGTTAAAAATTACTTTTAATTCTTATGAGCATTTTTAATTATGGCATTTTAATTCCTAAGAATAAATACTGAGTACCATACTTCCATTCTCATAAGTGCCATAAGAATTACTATTGTCACTCCAAGTATTAATTACAGTAGTTAACATCTGAGCACTTAATATGTATCAAAGCATTGGTCTAAATATTTTTACATATACCACCTCATTTAACCCTCATAACAATACTGTAAGACACTATTATTATAATTTTGTAGATGAGGAAAATGGAAGTAAGAGATTAACTTGCTCTAAGTTTGAACATCCAGTGATTCCAGTGCATGTTTTTAACCGCACTCTGTATGGTCTCTTCAGAATTTAGAAAAAATCATGTTTTTCTGATTATATCTAAAATGATTTCATTAACCAGAAATTTTAATCAATTCATTATCTCAGTCATCTATGGAAATAACTGACTGAATCACCTGGTTGTAATTCCTTGTTTTCCCTAACTTCCTATAATTGTTTTAACGTTGCTGATAACAAATGGAGAAATGAGACCCAAAAAGAAGATTCTAGATTTTCTTCAAATAAACTGATAAGTCTTTAAATATATGAAATCTTTTGCTTTAGCGATCTACAGTCATAAACTTTTGGATAGTTTTCTAGTATTAAGGAAGGAACCTAGGTATTGGGTAATGGTCTGTGAACCAAACTGTTTATGCAGTTATGCAAACTGTTTACTTCTAATTCAATAAAAGCTTACTCCTGGGCTTACAAACACCCAACAGTGACACAATGACACGAAATTTTAGAATTTCATGTACATTCATCAAACATTAATGTGTAAAAGTTATTTCTAAAAGAAGGCCTTCTTCAAATATTATATTCCATGCCAATATTCAAATATCTTCCATGTCAATCTTTTGAACTAATGAGATCTGCCAATATACTGACATATATTTACTATTGTTTTAATTGCATACATGTAACATCATATGCAATATAGCAGTCTTATGTTATATAATATATAGTATATAAAATGAGTATATATGATATATAACTATATAATTTTATCTACATATAGTTTACATGCAAGACATATTCTAATATGATAAAATGAAAGAACATTTTTGGCCAGTCCATGTCTATTACCTTCCTATTATTAACTATATTAAAGTGCACAGACAGCTTTTGTGAGAAATAATAGAATGAAGTACACACAGTAAGTGTTGAATAGCATATTGCTTTTTAGCATCACTATAGCCAAACTTGCCAGAAATGATACTGAAAATCCCTTTATTTGGCTATAGAAATTGACACTGCAATGAGTGGGGGGCAGCAGCTTCAGTAAGACACTTAGATTTTCAAAGAATACATGCTACCCTACAAATTCTGTTTGTGATGTTTTATACATAGAAAAGATTTCACCAACAAGAACCATATTTCCAGATACAAAATCTACCAATAGATACTGATCTATTCAATAACTGGCTAGGAGCTCTTATATGCAAGACCAAGCAGTGAGCAAACTTGTGCAATGCTCTACTTCTTCATCCCCTAAGGCTATTCCACATATGCACTGAGCTACATACAGCTAAATAATTCTTGGAGCAATAAAAATCATGTCTGACCAAAAGATTTAAACTTTACATATTTTGATGTTAAGGTAATGAAAACACATAGTGAACTTAATAGGAAAATGTACACCTGATGTTCATATGTACTTACTGATTAGGAGTCCCGGGTGGAGATCGTGATGGAAGGCTTTGTGTTTCTAATCTGTCATCAGATACTGAATTTCTGCTTACTACTTCCCAATCCATTAATTTCCGTACTAAAGGCTTACTTGGGGATCTGCAGAAATAATTTAAATAACATGTAAGAAAAAAAAAATTAATACCCCCAACAATGAAACCAAATCTTAGAATTTGTTTTAGTCAGGTATCTGACTGAGTAAACATAAAAATATACTTATAAGAAGTCAACACATCTGCAGGCTATTTATCAAGTAATTTCCTAAGAAAATACATTTCCTTTATATGAAGGTTCAAGTAAGGAAAAGCTAGAAATAGGGAAGAAGAGAAAAGGAGAAGAAACAACAAAAGACAAAGGGAAAAAAGTGACGGAACAGTTGATTACCAAATGTTTTCCCAGGTATTGTTAACATTGTAGATGTTGCCTAATCCTACTTCAGAGTTTTGAGGATTATAGATTATTTTGGGACTAAGGAAACAATTCCTAGCAAATTACTGATAAGTCCTGAATGTCCTTAAATCTAAACTGATCCCCTGCCTCAATGAGAACAAGGCAAAAAATAAAATTACATCTTATTTCCCATTTTTATACATAGTAGGCGCCTGTGGATTTTGCACTTCACAAAAAGTGGAAGAAGTTTCACTAGTCTGTCTCATGATAGGAAATAGAATATGTTTTCTTATCTATTTATGTATCACAAGCTAATCTCGTGATAAATATGAGAACTAAGTGACTTTTTCAAAAAATATTGATCTTTGTAGAGATTAAAATCTCTTAGAATTTAGGTAAATTATCAACAAAAGCATTTCCTTATTCACAAATTCTGATAATAGCCAACTTCATTAAAGAGATGATATCTATGCATGCTTTTTGCATGCAGAATTAAAAAGGCTAATAGTGAAGCTATTTATATAAAAATATATACCTTAATTAAAATATTAAATACATTATTTTTAAAATAAAACAAAAAATACATATAATAAATCATCTTGTAAATGAGTACTTTTATACTTAGCAATAAATCCACTGAAGCACATAGCTATATACTAGACCCCCAAAGATGTTAACACTGACCAAGAATACATAATAAAATTTATGTGCATAATAGGAAGCACTAAAATAATTATCAATAGGGATCCTGATTCCTAGCTTTGATCTTCCACTAGACCACACATTTAGGTTTCTACATCTAAATTTTTAAGTGTGGTGCTGAAGCCCTTCCCTACCTCCTGAATCTCATGATTTATGAATATCAACATTTTCAGGGCAATGGATTATTCAATTAATTTTACTAAACCACAAGTAACTTAAATTACTTATGAAGTGCTTATCATTTCATGTGATCACAGCCAAAACCTTTTTAGTTTGGCCTAATGCCTCTTATTTTAAAAACATTTAACATTTCCTATACAGATAATTATTGATTAAAACATGCACTGGCTCAGGCTACCTTTTACAAAGTCAGTGAATTAAAAATGATTTAGCATGAATGTCTCCCACTATCAAATTACAGGGCTTCTGATTTGCAGACAACTCAGGAGAGCAACTAGTATGACCTCCTCATACAGTAGTGCAGACATTCTTCAGGCACAATAAAGTGAGAATAAACTATATTACTTTAGCATTAGATTTTTTAAAATGAAGTACGGATTATAAAAAGAAACTGTAGCATTTATGGCTTCTCTATCAATGTTAATTCTTAATGTCAAAACTTATTTTTTAGCATATAAAAGGCTATAAAATATAAATGTAACAGTATCCACTAACTATAGTCAGCAGACCAACTACTTTCATTTTCTAAGAGAAAAAGTCATTTGAAGGCAGAAAATATCCAGTATACTCACCTCGCATAAAGATTCAGAACACTTTGCTACTGTTGATAATTGAACATGGTTGGAAAGACTTCGCATTTAAAAATTGAATTTCAGCTATATTATTTTATTAACAGTTTTAACCTCAGAGACCCACCCACTCAAACTTGCTGTCTATGTTTCCTGTTACGTGTGGAAATTTCGGAGAAAAAAATACCACACTTTCAATGTGTTTGCAATGTGGTAAATTTATTTTGTTTTTACCACGGTACTTTATTTTTCTGTTGTAAGAAAACATTCTTTTGCTTTCTTCTTCGATATTATAAGATATTATAAGACAATTGAAACAATGTTGATGTGATGTAGCAGAAAAATAAATGTGCCTATTATGGCTGAAAGAACACACCTTATATGAAAAGTCTAAGGTGAAATCTTTTCTACTTATATTGCCAACTAAAATACCAAGAAGTGGAAGAGAACGCTAGAATTCACTAATACTTTAAGGAATAACTTAATTATTTCTGAAATTTTTAGAGCATTTCAGTGGACAAGAATAAGGTCATCTTCATAAGACTGATAGATCATAAAAACAATTCCAGGAATACTTAAATCATTCTGAGCTAGCAGTAACATTACAATAGTACTACTAAAATTTTGTCTAGCTGATGACTTCTTATTTCAAGGAGGTTTCATACAATTCCAGCATAAAGAAAAAGGAAAGTTATCTGGAATAGAGCATACCAGAATTATTAGCTCTACTATTTATTGAATAATATATTTGTTTATTTACTTTATAAAATAATCAATGTTAAACAATTTCACATTTAATAAGGCATATATGAATAGACTTAGAGATGTAAATATTTGCCTATTTCTCAAAATATTAAATTATTAGATTTTAACATTTAGTTATTTGTATGTGATATCAATATTTATGTATAAATATGAAATTTGGTATATTAGGACATTACACTATAGTAAAATTAGTTACCAGATAAGAAGTATGGTAAGTTTATAAATATCAAGCAAGTAAAAGTTAGGCTTACTATTAGGAAAGTAAGACATGTAGACATTTTGTTAGGATGCAGCAAATACTAAGTATCAGAAAAGTATCATTTTTAAGTTTTTCCTTATCATTTGTTTTATTCATTTATTTTAATAATTTATTTATTCAATTAGTTGTGGTAACATTAGGACCCTCCTCATCAGGTCTCACCGCTATTTTTGCCACTAAATCACCCATAGTACATTATACTTCCTTCCCTCTTTGTTTCTATCTCTCCTTCACCCACTGCTTCCTTTAAATGCTTCAGTGGTAAAGACAGTTTTCAGAGGTTTTTAAGGCTGCCTCTCTTTGCTTCTAGTTCGGTTTCTCCTATATTCCACATAATATTGAAGACACCATCTGGTATTTATCTTTATTTTTCTGATTAATTTCACTTAGTCTTCTCTCTTCCATCTTATCCACATTGTTGGAAAAGGGCATCAGTTTATCTTTTTTGATTGCTAACTGATTTGAACTAGTCTGAAATGAGGGCTGCAAATAAGATACAGTACTAACAACTAAAACATGAATATGTACCACATCTTCTGTTTCACTTATCTGTTTTAGGAAATGTAGTTTGTCTCGCTATGTTGGCTATTATACCTACTGCTTCTATGAACAGTGGGGTACAGGTTTCCTTTTGATTTAGTGTTTTTGTATTTCTGGGGTAGATACATAGGAATAGAAATGATGGGTCATATCATAAGGCAGATCTATTTTCAGTCCTTAGAGAAAGCACCGCCCCGCTTTCTACAGAGCTGGGCCAGCCTACATTCCTATCTTCAGTGTAAGAGACTGCCTTTTCTCCACACATCCTTGCTAGCACTTGTTTCTGGTCATTTTGGTATGGGCCATTCTCCCTGGTGTAAGGTGGTATCTCCCTGTGGCTTTAATTTGCATTTCCCTGATGGTAAGTGATGATGAATATTTCTTCATGGGCTTATTGGTTATGTTTATTTTGATTTGAAAAAGTCTAAAAGGAGGTTGCAAACAAAATATAGTACTCACAACTAACACACATATTTAAATAAAAATAATAAAGTTAATAAGAACTAAGCATTTCTTTCAAAAGAGTATCACAAGGAAAACAAGTTTTAAATTAACATTTTCTGTGTATTTTACCATTGTACAGGTCCTTAGTACTTTCTCACTAGAAACAAGAACATCTAAAATTGTAAAAGGGAGAATTCTGAATGATTTCAGAATTCTATTGCGGTAGGTATTTCTGGGCTTTCTTTTAATCTCCCTTCTGATATAGTCAAGATATTAAAATGACACCAAGACTTACACTGAATACAGAAAGATAAAAATTTCCCTTATAAATCTAAACATAAGACATAATAATTAATTTTAAGTTTTAAAATAAATGCTGAACATTTAATTATATCATTTAACTTCAAGTAAGCTTGTTACAACAAAATGATACAGTCCTACTAGCTAAATCCTTCCTGTTATGGGGCATATTCATTGATAGTTCTTTGAAGGTCACTGCAAACACCTACAAACATGTTTCAATTTTTTGTTTCAAAAGTTCTTACTCACAAAGGACTGATATTATTATTTACTATTTATTTTTATAAGCAGTCAGGGAGTAGTACTGACACAATCTCAGATAGCGTCAGCAGTGACTTAGACTTGGCAGGGAGAGACAGGGTGAAAGGAAAAATCATAAAGTTAAATCTGCAGTGTAGGGTTGAAAGATTTATTCTATAAAGATTTATTGTCCTTATCAGTGATTCTAGATATAACATCAAAGAAAATGCCTATGGTATACTGGCACATTCTCACTTGTAAGTGATTAAAGCAAACAACCAAAAATCTGAAACAGTTTTTAAAATCAAAAGTACACAGACATAATACGCATGGCAAAAGTTTGAACAGTACATGCCAAAACACTTTTAAATACCTGCACTGTGCTTGTTTTTTGTTTTTTTTTTTTATGTTATCTGGCATTGTTAAGAGTTTTTTAAAAATACTGATTATTGCTTAAACAAATAGAAAAAACAAACAAACAAAGCAACTTCTACTTTTGGAGGAAAGCAAAAACCCACAAAACTCTTTTACTCCAGAAACATAAAGCAGAAAGTTCTTTTTGACAAAAACTAAAAGCAAAATTCTCTTCCATTTAAGAAAACTATTGCCTCCATGGGCAGTAGATACTAACTACATAAATTCTTTAAGGACTTAACACCTTGTTTAAGCCATTCAAACTGAAAACAAATTAATTCATTTAAAAAAAAACCACCTACCATATTCCACATATTACTCTGCGTTACTAGTGAATAAAACAATCAAACAAATCATCATCCCTATCCATTAAAAATTTGTCCTTTCCCCTATATTCTTTGTCTGCTTTATGTCACTCAAATACAACAGTCTGTCTATATAATCCTGTCTCAAACATACCTATATCCAATTCGTCCACAACTTTTGCATAGTTAGACTACCAACTTGTGTCACAAATTCATTTCCTCTTTTCTATTGAACCACCATATTTTAGTTCAGACCTTGTTATTATTATTTGGATTACTACAATAACCTTACAATTGTTCTCTGGATACCCAGCCTTTATTTGCTAATCTATGCTTTACCCATGTGCATAAAATTATCTTCTAAAACAAATCTGATCACATCAGTTTATAGGGGAAAAACAAATCTGACATATAACAAAAAGTGAAGCTAATAAATAAATGGTATCTAAACAAAAAGTAGCTTATTTTTTAACAATATGATTTTAAAATGTGTGGAAACAGGCAGGATAATAGAAGAAATGAACCATTATGTGTCTCAAAAATAAGGGGGAAAAACCTTCTAACAAAATGTTGTATTAGTAACTTAATATTTAGGCCTCCCTGGTGGCACAGAGCTATCAAGCTATTGCCAGTCACTGCAGCGTAAGTCTGATATCCACCCATGGGGGTGACCCATGTGGTACAGCAGATCTCTCCTGTCTCACCTGCTGTTCCCCTCAGCAGTGTATTTCAGTAGATCTGCCTGTTCTGCTCCCTATTCTGTCCCTGGTGAATCCTCTCACTCCCTGCGCCTTTGGCCTGTACCCCAGTTCTTATATGCATAATAAAAAAAATTTAAAAAATAATAATAATATTTGTGTTCAGTCTAGTCAGAGTTACAGTGCTTGGCACAAGTTAATTTAATTCATGTGAAGAAAAAAATGAATGAATAACCTAGGCAAACTATTTCACTAGTCCCAAAACCGTATTTATTCTTTAGTTAAAGAAACACTCATGTGGTAATATTGTAATCATATATAGTAAGTAATCTTTCCTTAAGAAATTCAATAGGGATGTAATATAAACATGAAACTATAATTAATAATGTTGTTTTGTATATATGAAAGTTATGGAAAGAATAGATCTTATGTGTTCTCATGATAAGAAATATAATTTTGTAACTGTATATGCTTTATTGTGGTTATATTTTGCAAAATATAAAATATTGACTATCTGAAGCTAGTATAATGTTACATGCTAACTATACTATACCTCAATAAAATAAAAATAAAAATTCAGACATTGAAATATAAGTAGCTTACCTTGCAAATACCCTGTCTTTATTTGCCTTTTCTTTGCCATACTGGACTGACTGGACTTCAGTTCTCCCACTGAAATACATAAATATGTACAATAATAAACTTTTACAGAGAACTATAAGGTAAAATGACAACACATACCATAACATCATAATTTCAGATGAGACAATATATTTCTAGCAGAGGAAAGCAAGCGGATTACATTCAAGTTCTACCTGAATGAAGTATACAATTACTGTTATTCCATTAGTGACCAAAGATAAATTCCATAGAAATTTTTATTTTCAAGTATTTCTCTATGTGGGAGTAAATATAAGAGAAATAATTTTTCATGAATAGAAACCTTTCTCTGCTATGCCCTGGAAAGTTCCTCCCAATAAGTTACTATGTCCTGGCTCACCAAAACCTCATTCCAAAGGCCTGTAACTTATAGCTAGTGTCCTACTGAAACATTCTATTTAAGCACTGCTTTTGAATCTCCCCCACACTATCTTATGGGGGAAGGTTGTAGGGATATATAATTTCTAAGTATATTTTCTAAGGCCAACCTCACACTAATATTGAAATCAAACAAAGACAATAAAAGTAAAGAAAACTATGGAACAATCTCCCTAACGAACACAGACACTAGAAGCCATAAGAGACTTAGGAAACCAAATCCAACATCCATCAAAACAATTATATACCATGAACAAACAGGATTTACTACAGGGAAACAAGGACGTTTCAACATCAAAAGTCAGTTAACATAATTCACATAAACAAAAAGAAAAAAACAACCCATTATATCATATCAGTAGATACAGACAAAGCATATGATAATGTTGAACATCCATTTATGATGAAAGCTCTTCAAAAACTTGGAATAAAAGAAAAAATATAACAATAATAAAAGCCATCTCTATAAGACAAACCCACAACTTAGCATCATTCTCAATGGAGAAAAATTGAAAGCCTTTCCACTAATATCTAATACAAGACAAGGATGTCCACTCTCACCACTACTATATAAAACACAGAACTGAAAGTCTTAGCTAGAGCAATTAGACAAGGAAAAGTCAGAAATGGAATCCAAATTGGGAAACAAGATGAAAAGCTATCATTATTTAACAGATGATATAATACATACAAATAACCCTAAAATATCCCAGGAAAATTTAATTAAAACAATAAACCAGTTTAGTAAAGTGGCAGTATACAAAATCAATACATAAAAATCCATAACCTTATATGCAAACAATCAGTCTGAAGAGGAAAAACTAAGAAAACTATTCCATCCTCAACTGTACAATAAATAAATAAATAAATAAATACCTGGGAATAAACTTAACAAAGAAAGTCAAGGAGCTATACAAGGAAAATTATACAATATTGGCCCTCCCTGGTGGTGCAGCAGGTAAAAGCACAGCACTGAGAAGCTTAAGCCACTTCCGTATGAGTTCGATCCCCGCCTGCCCCGGAGGTGACCACATGGCGTGGCAGACCTCTCCTGACCTACCCGCTGCTCCCCTCAGCAGTGTACTTCGTTGATCTGCCTGTTCTGTTCCCCACTCTGTCTCTCACGGCCCCTGAGCCTCTGGCCTGTACCCCAGTTCTGTATGCACAAATAAATAAGTCTTTAAAAATATATATATATATATATATACACAATATTGTAAAATTATTAAAAAATTATAAAAAGAAATAGAAGACACCAGAAGCAAAAAGATATCCCCTTCTCGTCAACTGAAAGAATGAACATTAAAAGGGACATCCTACCCAAAACAATTTATACATTTAATGGAATTCCAGTAAAAATCTCAATGGTGTTCTTAAAAGAAATGGAATAGTGCTGAAATTCATATGGAATCACAAAAGAACCTGAATAACCAAAGTTCTCCTGACTAAAAAGTAGAAAAATGATTTCAAACTACATCACAAAACCATAACAAAATGCCTGACACTGGAACAAAAACAGAATTAAAAATCAATGGAATAGAATTGAAAACCAAGAAATAAAACTCATATCTGCTAAAGTACTTATGACAAAGGAGCAAAAACCATACGCTGGAACAATTAAAGTCTCTTCAACAAATGGTGCTGGGAAATTGGACCTCACATGCAAAAGAATGAAACTAGAATAGTATCTTGCACTATGCACAAAAAATCAACTCAAAATGGATAAGGACTTCGGAATAAGACATGAACTAATAAAATATATAGAAGAAAATATAGGCAAACTACTCCATGACATAAATTTCAGAAATACCTTTGAGAACTTGTCTCTAGAAATAAGAGAAACAAAGGAGAATATAAGCAGCTGGAACTATGTCAAACTAAAAAACTTCTGTACAGCAAGGGACAGTAACCAAAATGAAGAGCCATTCCACTGAATGGACGAAAATATTTGCACACCATATATTTGATAATGGACTGATAACTGAAGATCTACTAGGAGCTCACATAATTCAACAAGAACAAATAAAATAACCCAATTAAAAATGGGCAGAAGAGTTAAATTGACACTTTTCCAAAGAAGAAATGCAAATGGGAAACAGGCATAGAAATAAATGTTCATCATCATTTGTTATCAAGGAATTTTGCAAATAAAAACCACAAGGAGATACTCTCATGAGAATAGGCCATATTAAAACAACCAGCAACAAGTATTGCCAAGGAGGTGAAGAAAAAAGAGCCTTTTACAACGCAAATGGGAATATAAACAGCTACTACAGAAAGCTGTGTAAAGGTTGCTCAAAACACTAAAAATGGGCCCTCCCTGGTGGTGCAGCGGGTTAAAGCAGAGCATTAAGAAGCTAAAATCACTTCAACATGAGTGCGATTCCCCTGCCCCGGAGGTGACCACATGGTTCAGCAGACCTCTCCTGACCCGCCCGCTGCTGCCCTCAGTAGGCCTGTTCTGCTCCCCACTCTGTTTCTGGTGAATTCTCTCACTGTCCCTGCTCCTCTGGCCTGTACCCCAGGTCTGTCTGCATAAATAAATAATTCTTAAAAAAAGAAAACACTAAAAATGAACCAACCCAGCTACTCCTTGCCTAGAAATCTACCAAAAGAATACAAAAACACTAACTTGAAAAGAAACTTGCAACTCCATGTTTACTGCAGCACTATTCATAGTAACCAAGATAGGGAAACAGCCTAAATCCCTTCATCAGATAAATGAATCAAGAAATATGGTTTAGATACAGCATGGAATACTACTCAGCAATGAAAAAACATTAAGATCATTCACAGAAACAGGTATGAAGCTGGAAGCACTGATGCTAAGTGAAATGAATCAAGAGGAAAAAAATATATTGGATAACTCCATTTACACATGGAATATAGAAAAACCAACCAAAGGGTCGGACAAAGACAAACCTTGAAAGCTGACCATAGATAAGAAATATCCAGTGGGGATGGGGATGGGAAAAGGTGAAAACAGGATGGGAGATGAACACAAAAGAATATGATGCTGGGCTATGGGTGATTTGGTGGTGGAATAACGCAGGTGACCACACATGAAGGGAGAAATCACATGTTGTCCAAAAATTAACGTTGATGTGAGAAAAAAGTAGTATTGAAAAAATTTTTTAAAACCCTGAAAACAGGCCCTCCCTGGTGGCGCAGCGGGTTAAAGCACAGCACTGAGAATCTGAAGCCACTTCCGTATGAGTTCGATTCCCGTCTGCCGCCTGCCCCGGAGGAGACCACATGGCGAGCCAGACCTCTCCTGACCCGCCCGCTGCTCCCCTCAGCAGTGTATTTCGTCGATCTGCCTGTTCTGCTCCCCACTCTGTCTCTGGTGAAGCCTCTCACTGCCCCTGAGCCTCTGGCCTGTACCCCAGTTCTGTATGAATAAATAAATAAATCTTTAAAAAAAAAAAAAAAAAAAAAACCCTGAAAACAAAAAAAGAATTCCATTGGCAAAACTGATTCTTCAAATTTAGTTATCTCTGAAAAGATTATTCCCTTCAAGAAAAAATAAAAGGTACCACAAATAAGTGATAAGACAATTTTAAGAACAGGAAACTGGAATTAATATTCAATAAGTAAGCCTGATTTTGCTTAAAAGCTGCTTTGAATTCTTTATAATAAATAATTTAATAGTTCATAAATTAAAAAAGCAAAATAACTGCTCATGTAAAGATATCTTGATTTTTAGAAGTTAAATAAAGGTACGTTAAACAAAGGAAAGTTTTCTGGTATTTAACAAAATTGCAGTGAAAATTATGAAATGCTCATGTAATGCTTAGTAGAGAAGGTCTAGACTAAATATCTTTGCCACTGATTTGGTCAGTCTTGATATGCAATGGCTGGTACATAGTAAGACCTCAACAAATGTTAGCTACTATACTATTATTATTATTACTATACTATTATCATCATACTATTATTATTATTACTATGCTATTATTATTACTATACTATTATTGCTATACTTTTATTATTGCAATATTATTATTAATAATACACTAAGAAGCAATATAGACTATAAATAAAAATATTTGTTTTACCTTAAGAAGTGATAACCTGGAATTTAGTTAACAGAACAAGTTTCTTTTATCTGACTATACCACAAGAACCAATAGAACTATTTGAAAAATATAGACAAGAGACCATATTCTACACTATTACCCAGCCTCAGTAAGTATGAGCAACAAAGATTCTGTAGCTCAATAAACTAGATCATTATTTTAAAGGCAGGAAAAACCCAACACTTACCAGTACCGAAATTTTGAACCTAATGTAAAATAATGTGCAAAAAAATTCTTTTGAGGTGGAAGTGGTCTGTCCAAACGGAAGAATGTGTGATGTTCTACGCATGCTTTCCACAAATTTTTACATGCTCTATAATTCACCATGTTAAATCCCAATAATGTTTCTCTAGACTCATGCTGTAATAAATGACAAAATGACAAAATATCAGTATCTAAATGCTCCATTTAATTTACTTCTCACAAATAAATATTTTAGCCTTAAAAACACAAACTTCTATAGTATCCTTTTTGCTTATCCAATAAGAATGTACTAAAATAAATGGAAAGGTTTGTAAAACATAAACCTTGTTCAGTAATATTATAACTCTTAAAACATAATTAGAAATTCTCCCATGTTTATTGCAGCACTATTTAATATAACTAAATTATGGAAACAACCTAAGTGTTCCAGAACAGATGAGAATATACCCTAAAATGTAGTATATACAGACGAGGGAATACCAGTGAGCAATCAAAATAGATAGGCCCTCCCTGGTGGCACAGTGGGTTAAAGTACAGCACAAAGAAGTTGAAGCCACTTCAGCATGAGTTTGATCCCCACCCCAGAGGTGATCCACAGGGCATGGCAGACCTCTCCTGACCCGCCCGCTGCTCCCCTCAGCAGTGTATTTCGTCAGTCCACCTGTTCTACTCCCTGCTCTGTCTTTGGTGAATCCTCTCACCGCCCCTGCACCTCTGGCCTGTAACCCAGGTCTGTATGCAAAAATAAATAAATCTTTAAAAATATATAGATAAACTTATGGACTTTATGACATTATAAATGGAGTTTGAAAGGATAATGCTAAGTGAAATAAAGTCAGAAGGAACAGGATAAATACCAGATGGTATCACTAATAGGTGGAATATAAAGTAACTGAATTCATAGTCAGATAAAGAACAAGCTCAAAAACTAAGTTTTGATCGCTTACTATGGAGACATGGCACCAAAGTGGGAGAGGCGGACTCACTATGGTAGTTAAATGTGATGGGGATAACCAGATGTTAGCTCAGTTAAAAATAAATGAGTAACTTTAAAAAAAAAAGAGTAGCAAAGAAAACAACCCTTTGCAAGAAAGCAACCACTATTTGTCATTAGCAAAGGCTCAAGGAAATGTGCAGCAGACGTGGACTGAAGAAAAACCAGCAACTGTGACAAAGCCTTGGTACAGAGTCAGAGAAAAAAACAGAGAAAGTGGGCGCCACAGAGAAGCACCAGTAAAGAAAAGGATCACCAATGGCCTTTAGAACAGAGCGAAGAAATGGTGTTTTACTTAAAAGAACTAAGAAACCGCTAAAAGGAAGGTGATCTCAAATTTTTTTTAATTATTGAATTTACATAACTTCTTGCAATTGTTATAGAAAACCAGTAAGTTACCCCCAACTGACTTCTAAATAAAATGAATTTTATTTAGTTTCATAGGGTAATTCTGATGTTATAAATACTGGTATTCTACATATAACATTATATGTCATATATAAATCAACGTCTAGACTTAGTGTCTTTATATTTTGTTTTTCTTCAGTGAACTCTTGAAAAAAGCCTCTATTTTGTAAGCATTTATGATAAGCTTAGTCACTGAATATATATCAATTTCTTCTGATAAAATGTAGCTGACTCAAATACATTTTTATGTATTTTATACACAAACATATATAATCACTTGAAGTCTGTATTATTTTGCCAACATTTCTAATAAATAGTGGAAGTAAAGTATAAGCTTAGCTGAAAATGATTAAACCACTTAAAGGAAAAAATTCTTTCCAATATTGTTTTTGTACAGTGACTCAATACATTGTACTTTATAAAAGGAACATTACCTTTCTAGCAGGAGGAGGAAATATACTAAATATTCATGTAGTAAAAACAAAACTAAACACTAGCGTTCTCTAAAACAAAAGGAGATACCACAGATTTAGCAGAAAAAAGAAAAAAAACATACAAAATACTCAGATACTTCCCACATGAATGGACTTTGGGGACTAACAGTGAATAGTGGGATTGAGAAATCAGTTTCTAGGTTCAAGACAAAGCAGAATGGATATGTAGAAGAACTTAGAATCATAGAAATTGGGGGCATAGATAGACTGTCATAAAATGTGAACTCAGTAAACAGTTATCAGTAGGATTTAACAGTTTTACTTGCACCAAAAGTTTCCTCATGAATGGCCATTTCTTAAAATACATCTTTATATTAATAACTAGTAGGTAATACTTACCAATTCTTTCCTAAGTTGAATAAAAAACTGTTTGCACTTAAAAGAAATCTTTACAATCTTCAACCTGGATAGAAAGAGAATGAATTGTGGTATTTAAAATACTGAAATAAAAATGAAAATACTAATGAATTAAGACAATGATTATAAAAATAGCCCTTTAGTTTGTATAACATCTAAACATCTAATTATATATATATACATATAAGCATATAGTAAATAAGAATGTTAAGTTTTTAGTTTTTCATGAAAAAATAGAAATCTATTAAAAATTGTTAAATTGAGGAAAGTGTTATCTGAATATCTGCTATGAACTTTACATTTCCCAATTTTATAGCTAAAAAAATAATCATGTTGTAACTGGGTGGTACCTAGGCAAAGGGGAAGTTCCAGGTTCCCTGCCGCACTCAGAAGGAGGGTGAAGCTGAGCAGAGAAAAAGGAAAGAGAAGGAATTGGGGAAGAAAAGGAGGAGGAGAAGAAAAAAGAAGGAAGCAGGATGGAGAACAAGAAGACCTGAGGAAGCCACATGTGCAGAACATAATCAGCGCCATGTTCTTATAACCGCTGCCCCAGGGGAAACTTTTACAACAACCCCACACCTTCCCGGGGTGGGACCTACATTCTTGTGCATTCCTATATAGATAAGGTGTAGGGGGCCAATCACCTTGGCCAAAAGCCAAGCTCACCATATATATAGAAAACCATGTAAAGGTCAGCCAAACCAATCACTAGCTACCCCTTTGTCCTGAGGCCTGCAGAGCCAAAAAGGGACTATATAATCTGCTCTTCCCTTTGTTCTGGGCCCTTCCTGCCACCCATGTGCCTCTGGTGTGCAGTTGGGCCCAAGCTTGAGCTTGCAATAAAGTTTCCTCTTGTCTTTGCAGCGGTGTGACTGGCTTTTTCTGGTAGTGCGTCCCATTCTGGTATAACAACATGGAGCAGCAAGCATGTGATGAAGAAACCGTGCTTGTTTCCTGACCTTGGACTAGCTAAGGCAGATGTGGGTGAGATACCGGTAGGGAGGTGACTATGGCAGTGTTTATATTGATTTTGATTTTGCTCTTTTCCTCCCAGATTTGGCTGGCCATTTCTGACCCTTTTTTATGGGTCCCGGCCAGAAGGTGCTTTAGTCTTGTGGTGGGCTTTCAGGCCTTGCTTTGGGCCAATCCCTTCTGGGTTGATTTTTTGCCCAAAGGGGGTGGGTAACTTCAGATGTTTGATTTAGAAGTTATATTCTTTGTGTTCCGTATTGTATATTTACTATATTAAAGTCCCTTTTCATTAAAGTTTTATATGTTTTGTCTTGACGCGGCGGATGGCAGAAGCCACTTAGAGCAGGCAGGTTTGGGGTTTCAGGGGTCCCCCTCTCTCCCTATCCTGTAACAATGTCACACGTATTAAAATTTCAAAAAGTACTAATAACATAGTTACTTTTTAAATATACAAGTTGTTTTCTGCATGTAGAAAACCTGGACAGTACTACTCCATCTTAACAATTAGTAAAAAGCTGAACAGACTAAAGAAATCACTAACTACTCTTCTTCAATGCACAGGAGAGGAAAGGGTGCAGGGCAAAGTACTGCCCCCAAGATTTGAGACGAGCAAGATAAAAATAGGCAATTACAGTTTACCAAAGTTGAGAATCAGGAGCAGAAACTGCCAGATGAATCAGTGCTGGGACAGAAAAACCTGAACTATAATTTACATATTGCTGGATGCTGTGTAGACAACTCTTAGGAATCAAAATCTCAGGCGAAGTTCTGTCATGAGATGTCTCCCCTAATATTCTGAGATTTAACTCCAGGAGCTCAACCAGAGCCCCACACTATTTAATGGAAGTAAAAACCTCTGGTTTCTGGCACAGGAAGGGAGATTAACAAGATCTGCCTTTAGGGGAACTAGTTAACCAGAGTGTGACCTGCAGGAGTATTATCAGAGCTCAATCAACCTGGGAGGGACACACCCAACTTCAGTTTGAGGCATCCTGTCCTACTTGATTTATGCTAGAAGTAACAGATCTGCAGGGCTTCAATAAAACAAAAAACTTGAGCTCTCTGAAAGACAATACCACGCAGATTGGAAGATAAACCACACTGGAGAAAATATTTGTAAAAGAAGTATCTAATAGAGGACTATCAAGAACCTACAGAGTGTGGCCTCCCTGGTGGCAGAGGGTTAAGTCTCAGTGCTATCTTCTATCACCACACTGCCAGAATTCACTGAGCCCACAAATGGCCCAGCTGACCTCTCCAGCCTCCCCTGCTGCTCCCCTAGCAGTGAATGTATTTCAGTAAATCTATTGTTTTGCTACCCACCCTGTCTCTGGTGAATCCTCTCATCCCTCACACCTCTGGCCTACATCCCAGTTCTTGTAAGCATAAAATACAATTAAAACTTAAAAGAAAAAGAACTCTTAAAACTCCACAATAAGAAAAAAAAAAAAACACCTTATAAAAAGTGGGCCTTAAAAGTTATCTCACCAAAGAAGATATACCAGTGGCAAGTTAAGTATAAGAAAAGGTGTTCTGTATCTTATACCACCAGGGAAACTTAAAACAATGAATTTACATGCAGAATAGTTGAAGACTGGAACAATGACAACATCAAATTCTAGGGAGGATGTGGAGCAACAAGAACTCTCATTTTTGTGGGAATATAAAATGATACAACCATTTGGAACAACAACTTAGCAGTTTCTTAGAAAACTAAGCAAATGTGTACCATTCCAATTCAGCATTTCACTTTACTAGGAAGGAACTTGTGTCCTAGTGGCAGATGTCAACAGCAATTTTATTCATACTTGTGAAAACATGAGAGGCAACCAAGATTTCCTTCAGTAGCTCAATAGATAAACTGCTGTAATCAAAACGATGTAATATTACATTAGCTCTACAAAGAAGTGATGTATTAAGTCATGAAAAGACACAAGAAAAATTTAATTGCATGTGACTAAATGAAAAAAGACAATTTGAAAAGGTTTCTAACTGGATGATATTCTGGAAAAGGAAAAAATTATGGAGTAAAGCGATCAGAGGTGAATGAAACAGAGGTGAGGAAGATGATTAGAACACAGAGCACACTTAGGGGAATAAAAAAACTACTGTGTATGATGATATAACTAGGATATAGATTTTCACAAGCCTGTAGAATAATAACATGAAGAGTAAAACCCAATGTAAATTATGGAGTTGGATGATTATGATGTGTCATTGTAGGTTTATCTTCACCATTATAGTGAGTGATATTGCTATTGGGAGAAGCTATGCATGTGTGAGGGTAGAAAACCTCTGTACAATCATCTTAATTTTGTAATGAGTAAAACTGAAAAAAACAAAGCCTTAAAAAACAAAAACTATAAGCAATATTTGAAGGAAAAAATGTAATGTTTCTAGTCTTTATGTAAAGACCGTAAAAAATTCACTTTTTAGTGAATTTTGAATTTTATCTTTCCACATTGTCTTTATTTTTATATGCAATTCATATATGCTATGAAAGGGGAGTTCTCTAGATTTGCCTTCTTATTTTAATGTTATATTAAATAATAGAGATATTTTAATTTTTTTAAAGATGTATTTATTTATGCATACTGAACTGGGGTACAGGCCAGAGGAGCAGGGGTGGTGATAGAATTTATCAGTGACAGAGTGGGGAGCAGAACAGGCGGAATGATGTACACTGAGACAATCAGCAGGCGAGACAGGAGAAGTCACCTCCCTCGCTGGGAATCAAACTCATGCTGAAGTGCCTATGACTAGCTTTGTAGTGCTGTGTTTTAATCCGCTGCACCCCAGGTAGGATTCAGAGATATTTTTAAATCTTAATCCTAAAGCTAAGTGATGTGATCTTATGTAGTGAAACTTCTTTGAGATCCAGGACAAATTTTCTAAGTAAAGTTTCACGTTACTTCTAAGTTTGGATATTATGTCTCATGACCTTACTATTCATTCAAGATGTTCTCAGCAGAAAAAGGGAAATAGTTAAAAAGAGTAAACAAAGTCTATTTGAGAGGAGGGATTCCTTCAAAAAAGGCACATATTAGACTAATCCAGAAGAAGAGATAAAAGATTTTTTTAAAGATTTATTTATTCGTACAGAACTGGGGTACAGGCCAGAGATGCAGAGGGTGAGAGGATTCACCAGAGACAGAGTGGGGAGCAGAACAGGCAGATCGAGGAAGTACACTGCTGAGGGGAGCAGCGGGCGGGCCAGGAGAGGTCTGCCACACCATGTGGTCGCCTCCGGGGCAGGCAGGAATCGAACTCATGCGGAGGTGGCTTTAGCTTCTCAGTGCAGTGCTTTAACCCGCTGCGCCACCAGGGAGGGCCGGAAAGAGAATTTATTTAAATAAATGATTCCAAAGAACTTCCCAAACCAGGGGAAAGACTTAGCCACACAAATCCCTGAAGTTAACACATCACTTTTGTATTACAATGCAAAAAGATCTTATTTGACATATTATAATGATGAACTATCAAGATTCAATGATAAAGACAGAATCTTAAGGACATATAGGGGGAAAAAAAGAATGTGATATACAAAGGAATCCCCTATACTCAGCAGAAGCCCTATAGACTAGGAGAGAGCAGAAAGACATTCAAATTGATCAAAGTTAAAAAAAATGCCAACCAAGAATAATTTAATTGGCAAGGTTAGCCTTTAGATAACCTTCTGCTGATAATAAAGCTTTTTGCAAAAACAAAAAAAAAAAACAAAAAAAAAAACTAATGGAGTGTATCACTACTAGATATGTCTTGTAAGTCAAAAAGAAAAAATGTTAATGAAAAATATACAGCCAGAAATGAAATTCCATAATAGGTTGGTATGTTGACCATTAAACTATAGTATAAATGTTAAAGAAAAAGAGTAGTAAAAATAACCGTAACTACACTAAATTGTTAACAAATACATAACATTAAAAAGTCAATTATGGGCCTCCCTGGTGGCATAGAAGATTAAAGCACATCAATAAGAAGCTAAAGCCACTTCAGCAGGAGTTCAATCCCCAACCCCTGAGGTGGCCCACATGGCGCACCAGACCTCTCCTGTCCCACCCTCTTCTCCCCTCAGCAGTGTACTTTTGTCAGTCAGCCTGTTCTGCTCCCCACTCTGTCTCTGGTGAATCCTCTCGCAGCCCCTCCACCTCTGGCCTGTACCCCAGTTCTGCATGCATAAATAAACACATCTTTAAAAATAAAAAGTCAATTATGTTATCAGTAAATAAGCAAGAGAATAAGGTAGGTGGAGCCTGTGCAGGCAATTGAAAGTAAATTGTTATCAGTCTGTAACAGACTTGTATCTAAGAGGTTTTGTTTAAACCCTGTAGTGATCACAAAACAGAAACCTAGATTATGCTCACAAAAGACAAAGAACAGGGAAACAAGATAATGTCACCAAAGAAAACAACTGATTCACAATGTTCTCTGAAACAGTGGTTAAAGAAAACAATTGAAATGTAACAAAACCAGAATGTAATATTGGACATTAGAAAGTACTTAATAAAATCAATAATTACTCTAAAAGGAAGTGAATGAATATAATCAAGGCAGAGATAAAAATAAACAACACCCAACTATATGCTGCCCACAGGAGACTTGCATCAGTTTCAAGAACACACAGTTCCCTTATTGGATCTCCTCTATCTACAAATCTCTTCCTTATTTCTTTTTCACTGAGAAAAATTTCAATTCATTCCTTAACAAACATCTCAAATACTGGGCCTTCCCGGTGGCACAGGGTTATACTCTCAGAGCTATCAAGTTATCACCAGCCAATGCCCAGCCAGAGAGCTGACCTACATGGTGCAGCAGGTCTCTCCTGTCTTGCCCACTGCTCACTTCAGCAGCCTAGTTCAATAACTGTGCGCCTTCTGCTCCCCACTCTGTGTCTGGTGAATCCTCTTACCCCCTGCACCTCTGGACTATACCCAATTCTCATATGCATAAATAAAAATAAATATTTTTTTTAATCTCAAATATTTGAATTATCAAAGTTTTCCCTAGAGTTTGTATCTTTTTGTGTTGCTAAAGCAGTATGCCAAATACTCTTCTAGAATTCTTATTTTATAATAAAAAGGAATATTTTAGAGAACTTTAGAATTTCAGAAAATTTTAAATTACCATTGTTAATTTAACCCACATCATTTGAAAAGTATTTGAATTTATAAAATGTAGAATTATTAAAATAAAGGTTAAAAATTGTTTTTAGAAAACTGAGAAATATAGTAAATCAAAGATGCATACTGATCACTATAAAAATGGAAAATAACTATCTTCTCTGAAGCATTTAAGTACATATCTATATATTATGCTTTATAATTAATTTTTGCAGGTCCATTTATAGGTAGGGGCCATGTCTTAAGTTGTTTCAGTCTCCCATCAAAAGTGTGAATCCTGGGCCCTCCCTGGCGGTGCAACGGGTCAGAACACAGCAAGCTGGCCGCAATCTCTTCAGTGAGAGTTTGATCCTTGCCCCAGAGGTGACCCACATGGTGGGGCAGACCTCTTCTGACCCACACGCTGCTTCCCTCAGCAGTGTACTTCGTTGATCTCCCTGTTCTGCTCCCCACTCTGTCTCTGGGGAAGCCTTTCAATGTCCCTGAACCTCTGGCTTGTATCCCAGTTTTGTATGAATAAATAAATCTTTAAAAAAAAATTTTTTGAAATCTGTAGGAAGCATTTAAAAGATGTGAGATGAAACAGTAAATGATCTTTACTTATTATTATTAATAAACTTTACAGAGGTATTATTTGTATACAATGAAATATAGCAATTTTAACAAACCTATTCAATTGTGTAACTACCACCCACTCTATATTAGATATTTTTTACAGTAACCACACCCTGTTCCACTATTTAAATGAGACAGTATATTTTAAGCAATTATCATGGTATAAAACACAGAAAAAATGTGTAATACTAATTACTTCATATCTTGTGGAAGATTCCAAGTATGTTGCATAACAACATTAACATAGTTCAGTTGTTTTTTTCTTAATATGAATTACTATATTATCATATTTAGTAATATAATGATAAAAGTATTGATGGAAGTTCTTACCATGGAAAAGTATTCATTCGTACCCTGTTCTTATAAATCAGAATTCCTCCTGACATCACTCCAATCATAATTTCATTGTTACTTTGATCCTTCAAAAAGAAAAAAATGACAAATCTAAAACAGTATGTTTTAATTGCTAAAGATATTGCAAAAACCAGGTTACTTTTTAAAGCACAATTTTTAAAACATTTCCATAGGGAGCACCCACTGTATTATGCTTAAACTCACATGATAACTGTAACTTCATAAGAATAAAGGACATACTTTAAATCAAACAAATATTGCATTATTAAAATTCATTAATCTAGAGCAAAAATGACTTCCAGATTCACAATGGCTTATTAAGTGGAATTGACTCTTTGGGATAGGAAGCCAAATGACTTCTCATTTTGTAATATGAACTGGTATCCATCCTTCCATTTCTAAACCATGACATTAAGAACCAGTCATTGTAAATATGGTGCTAAAATCACAAAAGTAAATAGAACATAGGGAGGTTAGAGTTTGGTAAAAGGCGACCTGTATTGACAGTATTTCTAATCCAACGAGAAATCCTAAAGCAAATATGTAGTTAATAAAAAATATTGTAAGATTATAGAATAAGAAACAATTGTTGGGAAGCATGGAAAATTTCAAGGAAGAAAATGTGAATTGTGCTTTGAAAGATGAGTTTTCACTGCACTAATTGATGCAACTAGAATAGCAAAACTGGCTGGTAAGAGAATTAGAATTAAAATACTTTATTCAGCTGCTAGTCAACTTTGAAATAGTTTTGCTTCTTTACTTGAAGTACTCTAGAGGCAAACTAACATAACAATAATGTTTGTAACCCCTTAACATTCATGCTCACAGATTATAAGACTAATGGATGAAAATATAATCAAGATTTTATAATTATATTTCTAAAATAAACTGTTTAAAATGTAGCTTCAATAATTTCTAATTAAATAAAACCTTAAATTAAGCTGTTAGGTAGAATAATATATCTTAAGTAGTCAAACACAATGGTGTACACTAATTTGTCTGGCTGTTCATTTTGTTCAGCAATAATCAGTTCCACCAAACACTATTATCACTATCTTAAATCATTTTAAAAGGACAATTAGAACTTTAGATTAAGTCAGCAGACTTAACACGTGTTCCTAATACCCTTTCTGCTATCTACTCATCTGCATCAAACATCAGAGCAGATGAATGAAAATTCAATGAATACTTGAAACAACTCATAATAATTGAAGCCACAATGGAGAACAGAAACAGCAAGAGGATCCTCAAATTACTGGGATCCTCAAATTACTGGCAGGATAACCAGGTAGGGAGCAAGCAGCTAAGGAAATTACATAGCAGAAAATTCCACAAAATAAAACAATTTCAAAAACTAGTGAAGATCACTAAACATCCTAAGGGTACTGAGGTTAAGAGTGAGTAGGGGATGGAGAGAGACAAGGGGACACAAGGTGTTGGGGAGAAAGGAAAATATATTTCTTGAAAAAAGAGCATCTTGGGCCCTTATGTAATGGTGCAACAGGTTAAAGCACAGCACTCTGAAGCTCCGCAGTCACTGAAGCACAATTTCCAGCCCCAGCCAGGGAGGGGACCCCCATGGTATGGCAGGTCTCTCCCTACCCACCCGCTGCTCCCCTCAGCAGCATATTTCAGTACATCTGTCTATTCTGCTCCCCACTCTGTCTTTGGTGAATCCTCTCACCCCCTCCCATATCTCTGGCCTGTACCCCAGTTCCTGTATGCATAAATAAATAAAGGTTTAAAAAAAAATGAAAAAAGAGCATCTTTTCCATGTTGGGGGTGGGGAAAGGGAATGGAAGCCAGGGCATCTCAAAAAATATAGCTGACTCCAAGTCTGTGGCAGAAAATATACAAGATGAGTCTGAGGGATCTTAAAACACTATTGATGTATAGTGTTGAATCTATCAAAGACAACAAATGTCATGTCAAAAGGACTTCGGGGCAAAAAGAATCCCCACTGCCACAGATATGACAATTTAGGCCTCAATAAGAAAAAGAATCAAATATATTGCAAGCTCTCAAATCTACTTGGCGCATTATCTTCTTAGGACTGCAGGGAACCAATCCATTACTTTGGAAACTGGATAAATAAAAGGAAAGAATCAAACGTTATCTGTATATGTACTATGAGGTAATCATTCAGTAAAGGAGTGACTATATATAAAATTATGCTAGAGAATAAATAAAAACAAAAAGGTAGAATTAACTATAGTATCTCTGTTCTGCCATCTCCAATGTCTCAGTGGATCCAGGCACTAAGCATTAATGGTTGCTATCATTAAAGAAACAAAGCAAACAAAAAAACTAAACTAAAAACCAGACATTACTCTCTGATCATGCTTCTAAATCAAACTACCAATCTGAAGGAAATACATGTAACAACAGAAATTGCTGAACTGCACCATCACTACATGATCAACACATCTTAGACTTAGGATTTTCTTTAACTAAACCATTTCACTATAAGTTTGTGAAATGGTTTAGTTAAAGAAAATCCTAACAAAAAGGAAGAGAGGGAAAATTAAAAGGCATTTAAAAGTATCTATTTTAAAAAAGTAAAAAGTAAGACAAAGTTATGGTATCTAGGAAAGATACAAAGGCAGAAAGGGACTGTTGCTAGCACTGGGTACAAATAGTACTTCTAGATTAGCTAGCTCAATTTTATGTCTTGACCTGGGTGATAATCACAGAAGTTCTCTCTAAGACATACATACTTGTTGGATCTGTGTTTGATTTTACAATACATTAAAAATAGCAATGTAAAAACAAGACATTTAGGATTATTATAATAGATGTCCTAATATTTTACTTCTATATCTTAATTGTTTATATTTCCCTATCGTAGTCTCTCCTCCTTTCCTAGTTACTCTTCTACACACTAATTAATTAGCTAAAATGACTTAAATATTCTAGCTCCTCTATTGATACATGTTAAGAATAACACAAACCCAGTAAAATCTTTTAGTAGTGTGAACAGTAGCAACATTAATTTTAAGTGGTATGAGGTAGCTATTAAAATATATTTACAATCATAAAAATTGTTGCATATAGAAATGTGAAGTATCAAAAAGTACTCTTCACTTTCTTCTGCCTCATTCCCCAGAAATAGCCAGCATTAGCACTGGGATGTGCTCTTAATCTTCAAATTTATATAAAACACACACATACACACACATATATATACGTATATTACAATTTGCGTGAGGAACAAAAACGACAACACATAATTTTTGTTATTTTCTTTTTGCACCTAACATTTTGTAGAAATTATTTTGTATATACACATCTACACACATATACACACCTCTAATCAATTTTGACTGTTGTATATTATTTCAAAATATGGATATATGATAATCATAACTTGATTCATTTACACTGTTTTATTTTCTGTAACATTACAAACAATGCTTTGACAGAAACCCTTACACACATATACTTTTATAGTTGAGGTAACACTGGTTTACAATGTTGTGACATAGGGCTACAGGATTTCCGGTAGGGCTACAGGATTTCCGGCTTCAGATGTTGTTCCCACACCACGCCCACCATCAAAACACCCATAGTCCTACACCACAGTCCACTATATTTCCCCCCCTCCTGTGTCCTCTATCCTCCCCTCATAACAGATAGTTTCTGTTCTACTGCCAATAATTCTAAGGTTTGTTAGTGGTTTGGGTTTATGTGACTTATTATTTTGTTTACCTGTAGTGCACATAAAAGTGACATCATCCAGTATCTTTCTCCTTGTATCACTTAGCAAAGTCCCTTCCACTTGTATCACTTAGCATAATCCCTTTGAGGTCCGTCCATGTTGCCACACACAACAGAATTTTATCTTTTTCTTTTCCCATTGTGTATGTCTATCACAGCTCCTTGATCTACTCATCAGGTTTTGGTACTTAAGCTGTTTCCATATTTTGACCATTGTAAATAGTGCTGCAATGAACATAAGGGTGCATATATTCATTTGAATTAGAGTTTTTGCATTCTTTAAGTTGATATCCAGGCATGGAACTGCTCCATGTGGTAGATGGAGCAGTTTAATATTTTGAGAAGCCACCATACTACTTTCCATATGGACTAGAACAGTCTACCTTCCCACCAACCGGTGGAACAGTTTCCTTTTTCTCCATACCTTTCCTAAAACCTGTCTTTTTTCTGACCTTTTATATATGGGTCATTCTTACAAGTGAGAGGTGGTGTCTCATTGTGGTTGTGATTTGAATTCCCCTGATAAGTCACAATGAAAATTTTTATCACTTGACTCTTAGCCATCTGCATGTCTGCATGTCTTAGGCATTCGCATGTCCAGCCATCTGCTGGAGAAGTGCCTATTTATCTATTCTGCCAATTTTTTGATTGGGTTTTCTTTTTGTTGGGTTGTTTTCAGTTCTTTGTAGATCTTGGCTATCAGCCCCTTACTGGATATAAGGTGTCTTGAGTACATTAATAAAAACACCTTTATAAATATAATATATAAAGATGGAATCTGAGCAATGGAGTGATCAGAGATTATAATCATAGTAATACTTGTACTCCAAAGGATTATATCAAGTTATATTTCAACAATGACTCAGAATATCCACTTTCCATACTCTGATCAATAATGGATAAGTTTAATCCTTTTGCTTCTCATAAAAACTGGTATTTCCTTGAAGTTTTCACTGTTATATTATAGATTATCAGAGTGGCTTTTCAGATCAGTCATTTGTATTCCTCCCGTGACATGTTCATCTGTTATCCCTATATTTTGAGTTACATTTTAAAAATCATTCCTTCATGAAAACTGCAAAATATTTGTGATAGCTATTAAAATTATTTTACTTTTTAACTTTGTTTTCTCCCCATAACAGTAGTTTAGAATTTCTGTTTCTATATGTTTAATGTATTTAGGTGTAATACGTCTTCAGTCATGATTTTAAAGGGTAGGTCTCATATAAACTTAACAAAATATGTGATGTTATTCACTGAAAATGAAAGATCTCTGATAAAAAACAAACAAACAAAAAGCTATGTCTATACAGGTAAGGATAAGTGAAAATACACAGCAGAACTATGGATAATCATTGTGTGATTTGAATACTACAGGGTGACAAAGATGATGCCATAGACATAGCTCCATTCTTACAGAAGAGATTATCTGTTCCAAGGGATTACAAATTTACTTTAACCAGCATGTCTTCAAAATATATGCCTCTTTCTAGAATATTCTCTAGTCACCCTCTGATCACCACTACACCTCCCAAACTGTTCTTAGAAGACTACCAATGACTTCCACATTTGTAATTGAATTCTTATCTGACATAGTGGTATCAAGCACAATTCACAATTCACACAATTCTGTCTTTGAACTTCAAAGACAGAAACAAAAGCTTTTTTCTAAGCCAAATGAGTGCTGCTTCTTGTACTTTCCTGGTTTTTCCTGTCTCTCTTCTAAATTTTGAAGTGTTCCAGCTCTCAGGACTTCTTCTATTTTGTACCTGCTGGATTTGTCCTTTAGTGTTCTCATCTCATGGCTTTTAAATGTTGTGACAAAAATACACCAATTAGAAAAGCTTAAAAAGAAATAAAATAAGATGTACATAAGTACCATATGCTATAAAGAATGTGTAACAATTTGAACTGGCAAATAGTGCTGGTGAGGATTCAAAGTAATTCAGTCACTCTAGAAAACAGTTTGGCAGTTTCCCATATATCTAAACATACATTTATCATGTTGCCCTGCAATGACACTCTGGGGCACTCATTCTACAAAATGAGAATTTAATTTCACACAAAAACCTGTACCTGAATGTTTGCAGTAGATCTATTTAACAGAACTAAAACAAGAAAAACTGGAAACAACCAGATGTCTATCCTTCAATAGGGGAAGGATAATCAAACCATGGTAGATCCTTACAATGGAATCCTATACAACAATACAAATAAATGAACTATTAAAACTCAATACTTGGATAAATCTCAAATACACTACTATATAAATAAAAAAAAGCAATCTCAAAATTTGACTACATACTGTAGTCTCCCATTCATAGGACATTTTAGAAGAGAACAGAACAATTTTCGCGGGAGGTTAGGAGTAAGAGGATGATTAACCTAAAAAGGGTAGATGAGTGTGTTTTTGTGGGGTGGATTGAATTGTTCTATTATCATCGTGGTAGTCATTACATCAATACAGTCATGTGTTAAAACTCACATAATGCCGAAAAAGACAGAGAGCTCCATCTATTATGTTATTTTTTTAAAAAATGAAATATTCCATTGCTCCACTCCTCCATGTTCTTCTTTATTCTGAGGCTGTCCTTAATTTTTTACTTTCTATAATTCTCTTTTCCCTTACTCATATAACATTCCAGGCAAACTGGAATGTAAATATTATGTAACTGTAAGTCATGTTCTTTCTTGATTTCAGGCCTTTATTCCTGCTAATGGTTCAATGGTGAAAAACCACTGTCTTGACTAATTATAACTCATTGTTCTGACTTCAGTAAATTTAGGTATCTAAAGACCCTTCTTTGCACTCTGCTTTCAGATTGGTTTTGATGGTCCTGCCATACAATCCCAAAGCATTCTGTATTTTACTCTTTATTTCCTTACAGTTTTTACTTAATAAAACTTCTCTTGCACTCCGATATCCAATGAATTGCACAGGGCAAAGACAACTGATGTTTTTGTTTTGAGTAATTCTTAGTATCAGCACTATGCAAAGAACATAACAGCTCCACTATAGTGAATGAGACATGTGATTCTTACAGATTGCTAAATATAATCTGGTTATATTGATATTATTTTTGAAAAGTTAAAAATTTTTTATTCCCTGCCATAATTTACAGGGAAATATACTTGATGAAATGAAAAGAAAAAGACAGTTATAACAAAAGACTTCAGAGATGTACAACTAGTTGACAACTGTATTGTACTAATCAATAGCTGAAGTTTTTGCAATCTGTGGCTAGAACAGTACTAAAAAAATGGAGCTATGGTAACTTTTTTTTGGTATGGGTCATTCTTCTTTCCATAGCACACGATTTTGTTTCTCTAGTGGATTTGGCAGGACTGATTCAAAATAACCTGCAACTTTCCTGATGACTCCTTGTTCTCTCTCCTGCTAAGAACTATAGTCCTTTTTTGGTGAATTTTCAGAACCTTCTACTAGCACACCCACCATTTTCGCTATTTATGGACTGCCCAAGCTTATGTGTTTCTATGTTAAGTTTGACTACTTAAAATTTCAATTACTTTAGGGCCCTCCTTGGTGGCACAGCAGGTTAAAGCACAGCACTAAGAAGCTAAAGTCACTTTAGCATGAGTTCGATCCCCACCCCAGAGGTGTTCCACATGGCACAGCAGACCTCTCCTGACCTACCCGCTGCTCCCCTCAGCAGTGTACTTTGTCAGTTGGCCTGTACTACAACACTCTGTCTCTGGTGAATCCTCTCACCACCCCCGCACCTCTGGCCTGTACCCCAGCGCTGTATGCATAAATAAATAAATCTTTTAAAAATGTCAATTACTTTAACTTGATATACTTCATTTATGGCCTTCTAACAGAATTTTACAATCAAATAGTTTAAAAAATGAAAGCATCCAACTTAATCAAATCAATAAATAGTTAATTATGTCACTTTGTAACAGGAGCCAAGTGGTGATGGTGACCGGCTTTGCTGAGGCCCACATCAGCAGCTGGGTTTGATGGCCAACCTCAGCACAAGCAGTAGGGAGAGAGGACTATGGCAAGCTGGGGTCCGTGAGGTCAGTGAGAAGTCTACAGGCAGCCCTCACTATGGAAACTCAAACCTGTGCCCTGGCTTAGCTTCAGGACCCCCTGAGTGCACTGCCAAACCCAGTGCTGCTGCAGGGCCCAATGCATGGGAGACTACCTGCCTTCTGCACAAATTGGGCATGGACACATTAGGAGCTCTCTATCTGAAAATTGTGCTGGTTTTAAAAACAGACCAGTAAGGTTCCACCACCTAAGGATCAATAAGGTTCAAGCATCCACTGGCACCATTCAAAGTTTTGAGACCATTCAGGAATTATAAATGGACCAATTAGGCTTGATGGTGTACCTCTAAAGGATACAAGCTGAGGTTTGACAGGATTTCAGATAGACTCGCTGAACTCAAGACTTTTGAGACCTTTGAGATCTGCGATATTTATAGCACTCAACACCTTACCATTAGGCCTCTGGCCTTGCTGCCAATGTTGTCCATTGACTGGCACTGCTGGCATGTGCCCAATATCTCTAAAAGAGCTCGTCTTTGCTTGGTATACCTAAGAGCTGTAATGCTGGTACATGGTCTTCTGGCACTGCCTCTGGGAGCTGTTCACTGCTTCTGACTGTTTGGCACAACCTGCTAGTGCGATAGTGTCCAGTCCAACACTGTCCTGTCTGGCCACTGATACTGCCTGGTCCAGTCTCCACATGCTGCCTGGTCAGCAGCACCACCTATGGTCATCTCCAACTGCCACTGAGAGTCGTCCTGGTCCATCACTTATCGGTGTGTCACTGGCTCCAAGCTCCAAGGGACAATGTCATATTGCATCAGCAGCTTTTGATTTGGACTACTGTACATTGTAGACACTATCTGGGGTAGGACAGATAGCCACCCGTGGCCTTAAAAATAAAAACTCTTTTCTTTTCACCAATTTTCCCATTATTAATGAATCCTGCTGTTGATACCTGAGCCTCAGTGGTATTTTGCAGTTGTTAAGTGCATGGGTGAGGACCCACAAACCATGACATCCCCCTGGTTTAACTTGAAAAAGTAAAGTCCAACACTATTTCATTATAGGAGTCAATTACAGCAGGTATCAGTCTAAAATGTCCTTACAAAACTGTGGACAAAACAATAGAATTTAGTGGTAATTTTTTATTGTTAAAGATAGTTTTGTGCACATATTTTAAACTGCATTATGTGCAATTTGACTGTACCAAAACCCAAAATCTAGTTGGCACAAATACACACCACTACACCCACCGCTATGTTACATTTCGGAACATCAAGTTCAAAAGTAATAATATCCAAATACAGAGGGTGGCTGAAGGAATACATTTTAAAGAAAACTAAAGTTTTAAGAGCAACATACCTACACATTTTAAATGGAATCAGATAGATTCTCAAGTCACAAATACAAGTGTTTGAGGAGAGTAAGTCGTTTGGTCTTTTTTTTAAAAGAGAGAATGACATAAGTTTTTTAAAACTGTAACAACTATCACTCTTCTCCTAGAACATAACATTATAAGGTCCAATGATTAGTTTGAAGAGAATGTAAACCATGTTACCAGCTCAACTGTGGTTATCTATAATTCCACTTTTCATTGATTATGGAGAACTGCTGTGTGCTGGACACTTTTAAAGAAATATGACCTCTTCATAAAGAAACCTTGAGAAGGAATCTAGCTGAAGAGACACACAAATGAAAGATAGCTACTCACAAATAAAATAGGACAGGAGGGTAAGTCTTTTGCAGTCAACAAAGTTAAAACAAGAAAATAGAAGCAGCCAACACACAGAAACCAGTGATTATAAATCCCCTTAGTAGAGCAAAGAAATAAGTAAAATGATAATATACTTGGTTTATAAATAATTTTTTTATGAAATCACTACACGGTGAAAATTAAATAACTGCAGTAAAACAGAGGGGTTGAAAGCAACTTTTATGACAATGTTTATTATAAAAGCCAAATATACAACAAAACTACATTTCCTGTAACTTATTTTGTAAAATAAAAATTCTAAATGTAGTATCCTATTTTCTGCAAAATGATCTTTATAACATAAAACACCACCTTGAATAAAAATGATGGAAAAAATTCACTTCTTCCAATCTTCTCCTGAGGAAGTGAGAAATGGTCAGTGCAACTATCAGAGGAAATGGTCAGTGTAACTGCGTCAGCAGCACTCACTAACTATTCTATTAGTTCCCTAAGATTGTCATGGCATCAAAAAATAAAAAAAATGACACTGAATAACAGAACTTAACTCAACAATATGAAGTAAGTTTTTTTCACTTACCCTTGCATAGTGAAATTCAACTCCATAGAGTTCTAAGGTACGTGCTGTATTCAGGTAATTAAATTCAGCCTCTGCAGGAGACAAGCCTCTGTAAAAATATTATTAAGTTAAAAATTATATCAATCACAAATACAGTCTATTAGAAAAAGGCTATTTGGCTGTAAATATTTCAGCATTCTAAAGAAACCTTTTACAAAACATCGTACATGATTACTTCTCCAACACGGTATTTTAAAAACAAAGACAAATCCTTAGACCCTTATAACAGCTATCTAGTGGTTACCAGAAAAGAAGAATGGTGGAGCTAGAAAAGGTAGAGGGAGCCAACTGGTTGCTGTGGGAGGGGACATTTGGTGGTGGCTGTGGTGTGACATAGTGATTGCTGAGATGAGAAACTGTATACCTGAAAATTACATAATGTTGTAAACTGATGTCAACTTAATTCAAAAAATTGTTTTGAAAACTATGGTCCATATACTGTATCAGTACTGAAATCACACAGGGTACTTCTGAAACATGCAGATGCTGAGATGACTTCCAGAGCAGTAATGCTTTTCAGAATAAGATGCGCAGACCATAATCTGCGAATCTGTGACTCATAGTCAGTACAGAAATTGAGCATCACTCTTTAATAGCACCTTGGCTGAATAATTTTGTCTGCTGAATCCAATAATTTTAAAAAAGGCTTAAATTTTATGTATTTTATTATTTCACTTTACTTTTCAGAAACTTGTGTTTTATTATATTTTTCAGAAATATAGTTCCATGACAAATTGAGGGGAAACTGGTTTTTCATCACAGCTTCAAAATACTGTTTTATAGAGTGTACAGATAAAACAGAGTCCAAATGGTTTATATTGAACAGATATCCAGGTAACTTACATGAACACAAGTTTGAGAACTACTTCCGTAAATACAAAGCCAGGAAAAACAGATTTACTCCTATTTTATATATTATTCTAAGGCAAATGATAGCATCAAAACTATACTCAAACAAAAGGAGCAAATTGCAAAATAAAAGATATCAATACTTTATTCATTAATAAATCTAGAAAAGGGAGACCACAGCCTGCCAATGCATGATCATAAAAAAAAGAATTCCTCAAAATAAGAAAAAAAAAGCAAAACACTTCAGTTACCTATAAAGTTCAATTATGTTAAATAAATACCTGCCCCAACTCAGTTAAAATAAAAGATTCTATTTTTTGTTTGTTTTGTTTAAAAATTTGAGGCATCATGTCTCCAAAACAAATAAAAATAAATCAGTCAAAAATGCAATCTTTACCTTAAAAATGCAATTTCTAATTATCGGTAAATTTTAAAGATTTGACTTCTCTTCAAGACCTTAAATCCTATATGCTATGTGGTAAAACTTTTGCAATAAATGAATTTACTATTAGAACAAAGCACAACCTTACCACACAACTAATCTACTAAATTCCCATTCATTAAGCCATATTTTATTTCAGAGGTTAGCAAATTTTTACCGGAAAAGTTTAAGACAGTAAACATTTTAGGCTTCTTAGGGCCAAATGAGCCCTACAGTTAGGTAAAAGCAACGATAGAATGTGGGAATCTGTGGCCCAATAATTTTTTATTCACTGACAATGAAATTGGAATTTCATATGCCACATAATATATTTTTCTTTTGATTTTTTTTAGCCACCTAAAGTGTGTAAACAGGAGGAAGCAGACCAAGATGGTTCCTTGCTTTGCTTCCCAGAGAATCATTTAGTTTAGCTATTACTAGTTTAAGTGTTACTGACTTCCTGAAGCTCACTGAAAGCAAGTACCTGGCAATCTCTTGTCTGGAACCACAGAGAGGAACACTATCAGAGGTGCACAAATATGAGCCACCCTTTCCCCCAACTAGCATTCACACCACCGATCAGATCTCTCCAGGCCCCTTCCCCATTCTCTGACTCAGCTGCTAAAGATCAGGTCTCCAGAACTACAGAACACCAGAAAGGCCAAAAATTTTAGATGACATAAAAACCACTGGTTCATCTGCTAGAAAGGGAATAGTAGTTCAAATCTCTAGCTACTGCTATATTTACATTTAAAAAATGGAGAAATCTAAAGCAAAACGACAGGTCAAACAACAACAAAAACAAACAAAAAAACCACAGGGCAATGAGCGAATTCAAGGGAACATCACCTCAAAAGGAAAAAGAAAAATCTCCAGAATCCAACTAAAAAGATGTGATTTTTTTTTATCTTCCTATCAGAGTTCAAAATTTCCACAATATGAGAGTAGACTATATAAAATGGAGGACTGAATCAAGAAGATAGCAATGCACTAAGGACCTAGTTAAAAGAAGAGAGAGAAATGAGATATAAAAAAATGAGAAATATCTGACATTAGAAGAGCCAACAAAAGAATCAAGAAGGGGGTTATCAAGAGGGGGAGGGTGTGAATAGAATGCCCATCAAAGGAAATAATAGAGGAAAATTTCCTATAGCTTGAGAACAAATTAAATATACTAATCCATACAGTTAAAGAATATATAGTTACCTAAAAGCAACAAGACCTACAAATAAATAAATAGATGTATAGTAGTGAAAGTAGCAAGAGTTCAGACAAAGAAAGAATACTGAAAGTGGCTAGAGGTCAAAAGCAGGTATCATATAAAGATATGCTGAGGCTTATGCCAGAATCCTCAGCAGAAACTCTAAGGTCAAGAAGAGAGTAGAATGATGTATTCAAAATTCTTAAATGTTAAAAACTATCAGCCAAGAATACCATATCCCACAAGATTCACTTTCTAGTAAAGGCCTTCCTAGATATACAAAAACTTAAGTATGCAAACACTAGATCTCCCCTACAAGAAATGTTGAAGGGGGTACCCTCAACTAAATCAACATGAGGAACATCCACAAAAAAATTATATAAGAAATAAATAGAACCAAAAAAACCCACACACACACAAGGCAATAGTAAATAGTCACATATCAATAATCATTCTAAATATAATCGAGCTGAACTTACTAATCAAAAGGCACAGCGTAGCTGACCGGATCAGGAAACAAAATACAACTTTCGGTTGTCTGAGACCAATCTGAGCTCCAAAGATAGACATAGTTTCAAAATAAATGATTGGAAAACAATCGTACCAGCAAGTAGGACCCCAAAATAGACAAGGACAACATACTTACTATGTCAAATAAAATAAACTTCCAGCTAAAAAGTTACAAGACAAAGGGATGGACATTACATAATGATTACAGGATCAACACATCAGACAAAGGAAAAAGAATTGAGAATGAAATTAATCCACACTTACAAGGGCAATTAATGTATGACAAAGAAGTCAAGGGTATACATTGGAGAAAAGAAAGTCTCTTCAGTAAATAATGCTGGGAAAACTAAAAAGCCACATGCAAAAGAATGAAAGTAGACCACTAACTCACAAGCAAATTAAAAAATTCTCTCAAAATGGTTTAAAAGCTTGGATATAAGACTGGAAATCATAAAATACATAAAAGAAGACAGGCAAAAACAGCTACAACACTGGCTACATGGATGTTTTTGGTGATCTGACTCCCACAACAAGAGAAACAAAACCAAATTAAACCCAAATGCTCTGAACAGCAAAGAAACTATTTTTAAACGAAAAGACACCATACTAAAAGGGAGAAAATATTTACAAGTCATACATCGATGAGGAGCTAATACCCAAGTTCTACAAAGAAATCATACAACTCAACAAAATGGAAACAAATAACCCATTTAAAAAATGGGCAGATGATCTAAAGAAGCACTTCTCCAAAGAAGATATGCATATAGTCAACAGACATATGAAAAGATGTTCACCATCACATATTATCAGAGAAATGCAAATCAAAAACACAATGAGGTACTATCTCACTCAAATGAGAGTTGCCAATATCAGAAAGACCAGAAACAATAGATGTTAGCAAGGCTGTAGGAAAAAAGGAATCCTTGTACACTGCTGATGGGAATATAGATTGGCATAGTCCTACTGGAAAAAAGTATGATTGTTTTCTCAAAATATTAAAAATGGAGCTGACATAGCAATTTCACTCTTAGGTACCTAACTGAGGAATCGAAACCACTAATTTGAAGGGACATATGCACTTCTATATTCATTGCAGCACCATTTACTGAACACAATTAAAAGATTCTAAATGCCCACTGACAGTTGAATAAATAAGATGTGGCAACACAAACACAAAAGGATGCAATGCAGTTATTAAAAAGATAGAACTCTTGCCATTGTGACGACATGGATGGAGCTAGCAGCAATTTTGCTAGGTGAAATAAGTCAGGAGAAAACCAAATACAAAATGTTCACTAATATGTGAATTATAGAGGAACAAAACAAAGGATCACATGAAAGCAAACCCTAGAAATCAGATGAAGCCAAACCCTAGAAATCTGTTAAACTGACATATCAGTAGCAAAAGGAGGTCCAAAGGACTATGGTGGAGAACTATGATTACCATGGAGGTGGGTGTGGTGTGATAATACACATCTTAAGAGGTGTTATCCTATACTTCTGAATCTCATACAGGGTTGTATACCAGTATTACCACAAGAAAACAACAAATAAAAATGGAAAGCAGAAGGGAAAATGTACAAACCATTTTTATTAACCCATGGGCTATACAAAATATAGACAGGCCGTATATTCCCAGACTGTTTTAGATACATGGGCCCTTACCAAATGAAATATGTTTGTTATAAGAATTATTATTTCTTCAGTGCTTATACCAAGTCTACAGCATGGTTCTTTGTATACATAAGCTCACTTAATCTTTACAGTAACAACAGAGGTAGATACTACTATTATCTTCCATTTACATATACGGAAACAGAGCAGTGGAAACAGAACAATTAAGCCAAGGCTATAAGACAATAAGTAATTTCTTCCAGAATTTCAGAGCAGGCAGTATACTTGGACAGACTATCAGCCAATATACAATATTCCTTAGATCCTCCATTCATATTTTAGATTGTATGTTAAAGTAAAAGTAAACCGTGAACCAATAAATATTACTTTCTAACCAAAGAAAGAAACCTCTTCTTAAAAAAAAAAATCAGAAAATTACTAACAAAATATCAAAGCTGAATATTACGATGAATGAAAAGCATGCTACTATTTTTGAAGGACTACATTTAAAAAAATTAATTTAGCATTATATAAAGCTCCTTTTTTCCCCTTGGTTCATTACCAAACATTCCTTTCACAGTTAAAAACTGAGAAAAAATTACTAAAGTATAAAGAACTGTTTATTGTACTATAAAATTTCTTCTTAAAGAATTGGAAATTTCTATAATAGCATATAAACTTCTGTTAGCTTTACGGTTCTTCAAAGAAATGAAAATAATCTCAGTGTATGAAATTAACAATAATGTTTTTAAAGAATATCACCTCTACTTCTTTACACCAATCACATTATTTTGTATAGTAGTAAATTATGTATATTAAATAAATAGAATCATATTAGAAATAAATTAAAACATTTTTCTAGAAAATAAGCCATTATGACATTTGCCAAGTAGCAGAAAAGTAAATCAATCCTTACATATGTTGCTGATGTAATTTTGCAATTTCTTTTTCAAAATCTTGAGGTTGATTAGGAATGAAAGAATAATCTGAGAGGTAGCCTGGCAAGTTCTCTGACTGACTGTAGTCTCCAAGTTCAGCTAATAAATGGAAGGAAAAATTCAATATTTAACAAACACATTTTCCAATTTTTTTAGAGTCTAATCGCCTATTCATCAAATCTATTTCTACAAGTAAAATATTTATTATTCTAATGTTCCTATTTAAGCAAGACACAACAATGCAATCAACATTCTTCTATGTCTGAAATAACTTCAGAAAATCCTAACAAATTAATATGCTTCATTACATTTCCTCTGAGATCCCATTTTCCTATACAGGAACATGTTTAATTAAATAATATGTCAACAGCATAGTACTGCCAACACAGACAATGATCCTGTGTCTTTTGACTCCAAAATGGGCTTATACTTACACTGAACAGCAAATGAAGCCAAAAGGGCAGCAGTATTATAAGGACAGGGCAACCTAATAAAAAAAAAAAGAGAGAGAGGAAATTTAGTATCCAAGGTGAAACAAAGTAATTTTTAAAGTACTATCAATTATATTACACTATTCACACTTGAGGTTTCTATTAGACTTACAATTTAACTACTAAGTAGTGAAATGAGCTGATGAGAGGAATACATGCTACATATAGCCACTTTCAAATAGATAATTAACCTGCAGTGATCATTAATTATTTAATACAAAATTTAAAGTATTTTTGAAACCCTTACTAAAAGTTTAAAATAGCCCACCTTCCAGTTAGAATGTCTTGCTTAATCTGCAAAAAATACTGGTACCTTAAAAAAAAAAAGTATAGTTAGTATTTACTGAAATTATAACTTTTAGAGCTTGAGATTGTATATTCACATTAATAAATAAAATTGAAATATTTAAATCTTTACTTTCATAATCTACATATTAATATATGTAAAAATTTTTAAAACTTATCTTGTTTTCAGTAGTATCTATTAAAAAAATCAGTATTTAAAAAAAATTTTAAATATATCTATATCATCCTTCATTTTTGTATAATGTATTATTTCAACATGAAACTCCCACCACCAATTCACTCCTGCACCATTACCATAATCCCTTGTGCTGATCTGTCTCCCTCCCCCTCACCTATAGAATGTCTCTCATCTATAGCTGCCTGACTTTGATTTTTACTTTATTACAGTTACCCTCCCTTCCCATCCCTTATGGTTCTTCTGTATTCCTCCTCTAAGTGAAACCACTCAATATTTTTCTTTTTCTTTCTGGCTTATTTCACTGAGCATAAGCCTTTCAAGCTTCATCCATGTTGCTGCAAAGAGCATGAGCTTATCCTTTTTGATTGCTGAGTAATATTCCATTGTGTAAATATACCACATCTTTTTGATTTATTCATTTATATTTGGGCCTCTGGGTTGCTTCCATAGTTTATCTATTGTAAATTGTGCTGCAAGAAACATAGGGGTGTACGTGTACTTCTGAATTAATGTTTTTTGTGTCCTTTGGGTAAATTCCTAGAAGTGGAATTGCTTATCATATGGAAGGTTCATTTTTAGTAGTTTGAGGAACCTGCACACAGCTTTCCATAGTGTTCAGACCAGTATGCATTGCCACTAGCAGTGTAGGAAATTTCCTTTCTCCACATCCTTGCCAACATTTGTTGTTGCTAGTTTTTATAATATATACCATTCTCACTGGTGGCAATAAGGTGGCATCTCATTGTGATTTTGATTTGCATTTTCCTGATCACAAATGATGTTGAACATTTTTTCATATGCCTGTTGGCCATTTGCACTTTCTTTGGGGGGAAAAAAAAACCTCAAGATTTTTAAAGGCCCACCCATGACTAAAGGAGAAATACTCTGAGCATTGGTGTATGCAAAAGGCAGAAACTTCGAGTCAGAAGTGTAGGTTGAAAACAGAAGCAATGCACTAATTGAAGAAAAAAAAATCTTCCTGCTGCAAGGACAGGCTAATGTAGGTAACATCATTTAAGGTAGTAGGAAACTGCAAATTGTAGAAAAACATCTTTTTAATTTTATTTGAGTTAAGGAAGCTTCCTTAAATCAGAAAGAGACTTACCCTCCCTTACTACTGCTCTATTAAAATTGCCAAGCACCCACTTCCCTATAAAAACATCAAAATTATAATTATTCTTCAATAGGGTGGTCGAAGTTGCTTTCAAGACGCTAAGTGAGAATACCTCCTTTTGTATCCATTAGTGACAAGTCATTCCCCACAGATGTAGCAATATTTGAACAAAGTGACTTGGGTTGTATAACATTGGCAAAAGACCAAATTTTGAAGTTTTTAATTTTTAATGTCAGTTTTACATTCAATATTAACTTATTAATATTGTTTACTAATATTGTTGCGATTTTGTCATGATATAGGATGTCTCCTCTCTGGTGCAGTCACCATAGTGTTCCCATCACCAAAGTGCCTTGACTGAGAGACTGCCTGAGAATACCAGGTGCTATTTGCTGTAAATGTGAGAATCTTAATCTTATCCCACTTTAAAAAAACAAAGTATATATGCCCTACATGTAAAAAAATCAAAAAAGTCATTAAAAATGTTAGCTGTTTGCTTAAGCTCATAAAGAGTTCCATGATATTATTCAGATTATCAAAAATACAATTTAGGTTTTCAGAGAAAGGTCATGCACATATATCCCTGACAAAGCACTGCAAAATCTACATGAATGAATGGTAACTATACTTAGTGAATCTTATTTATATACCAAGCAGTAAGGTCTGATACTGTGAAAACCAGAATTCAAGCCCTGGGGGATAAACCAGTCTGTGACTCTGGGCAAATGAGGCAAAATTTGGTTGAGCCTTAGTTTTTACATTTGTAAAAAGGAAACCCTATCACTTGCTAAATAACCCAAATAAGTTAATAAAAGCATGGTTTAAAGACAATTACAGCCTTTAAGATAGAATAATAATTAGGTAAATGTAGAAATGACATGTTTAAGTTGTAAAAATAACATAACTTTTCTAATTCGTTCAACAGGCACAAAAGCTATGAAGATAATGTCATTGGTATTCTAGAAAAACTGTAATTGTAATGATGCCAGCACCTGATAATACTAAATGATAGTGAGCCTAATGGAAACTCTAAGTCCATTCTATCTCCCTCCTAATCCACTGCTGAATCTCAAAGTAAGGAGGGATAACAGATTTCCTGTTTTGGGTGGTTTAAACAAGCCTTAAAATTTAATCAACCGGTGGCTGAGGGTTTCTTTTTTACTAATAAAACCATCGTATTGAGAAAACACAAGCAGTTTTTAAAAGGAGTATTTCTTAATGGAGGCTGTACATTATAATCACCTGTGAAGCTGTCCTGGCTCTGCAAGGTCCCATGCGACACCTATTAAGTTGAAATCTAGGAGAGCCGGGTATGGCATCAGCACATTTAAAAACTCCCTGAGTAACTCTAATTTGTAAGCAGCATAAAGAACACTGATGTATACCAAGGTTAATAAAAGCAAAACTAGCTGTTTATCCCATTTTGGCAATAGCACCAAGGTCCTACAAGATTCTAGGACATTCCATTATAAAGAGTTTGCTGAAATTATAGTGAAAACAAAACTAATCTTCTAGACTACGGATTCAACACAATTCCTTGATTACTAGGAAACTTTACTTTTCCTATGTCACAAAAATACTTTGAATTAATTATCAGTGAGATATTTATTCCCTGATCATGTTATCAAAATAGGCTATAAAAAAAAACACAAAAAAGCTCTATTATAAAATTAAGATAGCTGTTTCAATAATTATGAATACAGCTGTGACTGACAATATTTTAACAATTTATGTGAACAATCTTTTCATGACCATTAAACATGTTAGAAATGCAATTTAAAAATACCGGTCTTTTAGTTACAAATATTTCTTATACATTTAACATCTAGTTACATAAAAGATGTTATGAAATACTTTATCGATTTCAAGTTCTTATATGTGCCAGGAAACAATAAAATGCTTAATAATTCACAATTTTCATTAATTCTGAGTAGTTCCCTTGGAGTTCATTCAAAATTAGTGAAAATTTTACTAATACTGAGAATTACTAAAATGTTACTATTTAAATTATTTAACAATAAAAACAAAACTTTACTAAGACCTAAAATATTAAAATAAAGGTATTCATATAATACAACTTTACTTTTCAAGATAATTAGCTTGAATTCTGCTATTAGTTTCAAATGTTAAGAGTGCCAAGCCTAAGACCAATATCCTAAGCCACCCCATAACAAAAGTCAACACCATGTCCCTACTGCACCCCAATAAACCCACAGAAAAGGACTGTCGAGAATGTCAACCTAATGTTAGTTTTCATTTTGTCAACTGAAAACTCTCCTTTACAAAAATCTGAGTATTGGCAGTGTCAGCCAGACATTTTTCATTTGTTCTCAGAATATTTTAGTAATTAACTATTATAAGGTAGTTATTCTCCAAATTCTACCTTTAACAGTTTATCTACGTTTCATACATAATCAAGATGCTCATCTGGGCCGTTCTTACATTTATTTTTTCAAGTATAAATGACAATAAAATTAGACAGTAATTTAAAATTAAACTTAAAAACCCAGTGAAGTGAGCATTGGAATGCTGAACATCGTAGTGCATTCTCTGCCAACTTCCTTTAGAAACTCCATGATGTTAGAAACAAAGATAAAAATCTTGTAAGGACAAAAAGGTGAAAAGCTCTTCACCTACATGTAATGAATGCATACTTTATATGTAGTGAATGCGTATTTTATAAAGTCTGCGTTCTCTCAACGGAGACAGAATATGCTTATTTATGAAAAAGAAAAGGCAGGTACAATTCTCAACCCTTGCATGTAAGTAGAGCATCATCTGACTACTTCAGCAGTGCTTCTTAATCATTTTCACAAACAGAACAATTTAGTATTTGTATGACTCGGGAACGTCTGTGGTTAGGTGGATTGGCACTGGGGTTCAACTCTTCTAAAGCCCTCCATGCTTGCAAGGGGGAGGGAAATCATCATCCTAAAACAACTATCATCTATTCTGTGTGCTGGTTGGGAGAATTACAGCATAGTTATCTGTTTTCACTTAATCTCTAATTTTATAACAGTTTGACAATATTTTCAAGAAAAATATGCTCCATAAACCCACCTTGTATATTCTTCTTGCAACTTGTTGGGGTCACTTACAAAAAATTTGACTCTAAAGTTCAAACTGTAAGGAGATCCTCCTAGAATTAACAAAAGTAGGTCTAATTAATCAGATTATATTAATCCTTTATCTTTAAAAAATGTACTTGCAAAACATTAAGTAAATTTCTGCTCACTCTTTAGCTGCTTCCTTATTGGCTTGTTTGGATCCAGCCACCTCTGAAAAATAAATAAATAAAACTGATTTACTTTTTTTTTCTCGAGGAACTAGAACATCAATTCTTACAACTCTGTTCCATTTGAAGATTAATGCTAAAAATTGCATTTCTGAAAAGGACTACCTATGAGAAATTTTTACTATACTTCATTACAACATATGAAATTTCATCATAATATAACAAAAATATGCTAGAAATTATTGAATGTATTGTAGTAGTTATGATTTTCATTTGAACTCTCCACTAGATTATAAAGAGTCTGCCAATAATTTGTATTTCAAAAATAAAACTGTGTAAAAATCACAAGGATCTGAAGTGATCTGTTCATTTAACTATATTACCGTCTGGCAAGCTTCAAAAATTCTGTTTCATAAAAATATGCTTGGCTTTATGTGCTCATCCAGACAAAATTTAACTATAGGCCATGAAAATCTAAAGAAAGTATTTTTAACTCCTACCCTATCCATAAAAAACAAAAAACTAAAACTACTCTCCCCCCAAAAAACCCACACTATTTGGCAAGACAATGTTTAGTTTGGAGAAGGACTGTTTTTTTGTGTGTGTTAGAATTTTAAGTAATCGCAACACTTCTGAATGCTAGTTAAGCTCTATTTCAGAAAAACTATATCTGAATTCAGAAAACATTTTAACTGCCAACATGTTTCAGTTTAAAAAATTACAGAACCCAAACAAGATAATAGATGTGACAGTATGTTCAAAGCACTATGTATCATTATTTATAAGCTATGTATCATTATTTATAAACCTTAATCCTACTACCCATATTTGATGCCATGCAGAATACATAATTATTTTAAATTAAGTAACACCTGACTGGGAGTAATCACTAAATCTTTGCTTTCCACTATCCATAACATCAACACATAGCTGATTGACCTTTATCTATTTCTAGAAATTCACACTTCTCCTCCCTCTGTTCAGAACACCATCCTTATCCCAGTGCAGTTTTGGCCATAACATCTTAGTTGCAGATTTATTCTGACCTTTCATTCATATCTTACCAACATTTTCTCAATCTTCCATGCCAAAATTAAGAGATTTTTTTTTAAGACCTGTCACTCCTTTGCAGAATACACATAGATAATTTCTCACTATAAGGTACAAAATTCTCACGATAGCTTTTATAATCTCTTCTACCTCTTCTCTACTTCAATTTAGTGACCTTTGGCCAAAACAGCTTCCTTTCGATTTCTCAAAAATGCTATCCTAGGGCCAACCTGGTATCAGAGTGGGTTAAAGCACAGCACTAAGAAGCTAAAGCCACTTCAGCATGGGTTTGATTCCCACCCCGGAGGTGACCCACATGGCGTGGCAGACCTCTCCTGTCTCACCCGCTGGTCCCTCAGCAGTGTGCTTCGTCAATCTGCCTGTTTTACTTCCCACTTGTCTCAGATGAATCCTCTCACCACCCCTGCACATCCAGCCTGTCCCCAGTTCTGTATGCATAAATAAATAAAATCTTAAAAAAAAAAAGATGCTATCTTAAGGACATCAGTTCCAAGTTTCCTTAGGCATACTGTCTTTCCCTTGCTTTCCCATGGCTGGATCCTTTTCATTTCTTGCCAGTCTCAGCTAAAATACTACCTCTTCAAAATTACCTCAATTGACCACCCTATCAAAAGTATGTCACAAAGTTGCTGTTTACACAGTTATTTTTCTATAAACAAGCAAGGGATATTAAATTTCCTCATAACATTGTAATATGTTATTCCTTCTTAATTGTAATATGCTTGTTTTACCTTTTATTGCCAGTCTTCTACATTAGATTATGAAGTCTATGAGGTAACAGATAAAGTATGTTTCAAAGCTGAAAATTCAGCACCTAACCCATGGTTTCGCATGTAATATCAATTAAAAATATTTGCCGGCCTTCCCTGGTGGTCCAGTGGGTTAAATTATAGCACTAAGAAGCTAAAGCCACTTCAGCATGAGTTCGATCCCCACCCTGGAGGTGACCCACATAGTGCAACAGATCTCTCCTGACCCACCCGCTGCTCCCCTCAGCAGTGTACTTCATCGATCTGCCTGTTCTGCTCTCCACTCTGTCTCTGGTGAATCCTCTCACCACCCCTGCATCTTTGGCCTGTACCCCAGTTCTTTATGCATAAATAAATCTTTAAAAAAAATATTTGCCACGGGATTGATTAAACCTATTGAATGACTCAATAGTTGAAGGAAGGGAGAGATGTGTTTATGAGAAAATCAGCTGGTTTCCACCCCTATTTAATATATTTGTTTTGTCTATATAGCTACACACCTATCCATCTTTCCACCCATCTATCCATTAATCTAGTGATATTTGTCCTTTACATTTTCTAGAAAAATTCACATATTGCATTCATTTTAAAGCTTGTCTAAAATCAAAGTTTGGGATCAGTTAACCTATAAGATTATTCTATTTCCCTTCAAAACATTCTAATAACAGAGATTCTATTATATTTATATCCCAAATAAATGGGTTGTGCTAACAAAACTTAGATGGAGAATAATAATAAGCACTGGGAAATTTAATAAACTTCACCAATGAGGTCAGGGAGATAGGACTTAGGTGCTTAGCTTAAACTGGGACGATAGAACAATGTTCTAATTAGCACTACTGGATAAAAAAGATGGTATTCATAGTAAAAATGATAATTATTCAGAAAAAAACTGGGGGAAAAGTTATAAAGAAGTTCTACAAATCAGTAAGAAAAACAGGTCATGGATAACAGTAGAAAGTTCACAGAAAAGTAAGTAAAAATGACATTTAAGTATATGAAAAAAAGTTAATCTTGATCATAATTATACAAGCAATCTTCCTTGGATTATAATTTTTCTGTGATAATATCAGCATAGATTAAAACTGTGAATATATCACAATGGCAGGAATGTACGGAAAACAAGCATTTAAACAAATCATATTATCTCACTGTAGAACTTTCCAACATTTGTCAAAACATAAAATGTATGTGGCCACAGACCCAGCATTTTTTAAAAATAATATAATAGCTTATTTTTACATCATTTTCTGCCTTTTTCCATCTCAGTTGCAATCCCCATGGGCTTCCCATCACCAAATCACCCATGTGCCATCACCAAAGTCCAGTGCATTTCCCTCCCCCCACTGTTTTTGATCTCGTCCCCCACTCCTCCCCTATAAAATGTCTCTGGTATATAGCTGTTCATTATTATTATTTTCTCACCTCAGACCCAGCATTTTAATCATAGCAATATTCGTAGAGATTTTTCACACATGAAATTCATTGTTTTAAAATACACATCTCAGTGTTTCTGCACTGTACTATCAACTGCATCACCAATAAACATCAGAACATCTGCATCACCCTGAAGAGAAATCATGCCTCTAGCAGCAGTCAGATCCAATGCCCATTGTCCATATCCCATAACAACATTTTTTCATCAAATACAACTATTTATTGAACTTCAGTCTTGAGTGTTCAATATATACACATAACAAAATTTTTTCTTTATTTTATTACTGTGTTTTATATATATGTTGTATGTATACACACCCACATGCGCGCGCGCACACATTTATTTATTTATTTAAACTTCATTCTTTATCTTGTGCATTTTTCATCTTGGTTATAATCCCCATGGACTTCCCACCACCAACTCCCCCATGTGCCATCACCAGAGTCCCATGTGCTCCTCCCACCCCAGTTTTGATCCTATTCCCCTCTCCTCTCCTGCAGAATGTCTCTGGTTTCCAGTTGTTTGTTGATTTTCATTTTTATTTTCTTACAATTACTTTTTTCCCCCAATCCCTTACACTCCTGCTATGATTGAAACCATCTGATATTTTTCTTTTTCTTTCTGGCTTATTTCACTAAGCATGGTCCCGTCTAGCTCCATCCATGTTACCGCAAAAGGTATGAGTTTATCTTTTTTGATTGCTGAGTAGTATATATGTATCCACTGCATATATGTACCTCTCTTTCTTGATCCAGTCATCTATTTTGGAGCATTTGGGTTGACTGATTCCACCGCCTCCCTATTGTGAATAGAGCAACAATAAATATGGGGTGCAGGTGCTCTTTTGAATTAATGTTTTTTGTGTCCTTTGGGTAGATACCTAGTAACTTCTAAATCTACTTACTGTCTCTATGGATGTGCCTATTCAAAACATTTCTTACAAATGGGATCATAAAAATGATTTTTTGTAACTTCTTTCATTTACTCTAATGTTTTCAAGGTTCATCCATGTTGTAGCCTGTAACAATACTTCAGTCCACTGGAAAGCTGACACTTGGGTTGTTTCTCTTTTGGCTATCATGGCTGTTTGGAACACCTATGCACAAATTTTTTTATGAATATATATATATATGTTTTCTCTCAAGTACAGGCTTATGAATGGTATTATTTGGCCCTATTGTAACTCTAAATGTAACTTTTAAAATTTTTTTAAATGTATTTTTTTTAAAAGATTTATTTGTGCATACAAAACTGGGGTATAGCCAGAGGTGCAGGGGCAGTGAGAGGATTGAAGATTCACCAGAGACAGTGAAGAGCAGAACAGGCAGATTGTCAAAGTACACTGCTGAGGGGAGCAGCCAGCAGGTCAGGAGAGGTCTGCCCCACCATGTGGATCACCTCCAGGGCAGGAACTCATGTTGAAGTGGCTTTAGCTTCTTAGTGCTTTGCTTTAACCCCTGCACCACCAGAGAAGGCCAAATGTAACTTTTTAAGGAATTGGCAAATTATTTCCATAATGACTACAAGTTTTACATTCCCATCACCAAAGAATAAGGGTTTCACTTTCTTTGCACCCTCATCAATATATGCTCTTGTCTATCATCTGAAATTATAACCAACCTAGTAGATATAAAGTGGTGTATCACTCCTCTTTACTGATCAATCATATTTCATTATATAGACATAACATTTTCAGTATATCTATTCATAAGAAGATGAACATTTGAGCTATTTAACCTCTGTGGACAATGCTTCTATAAACACATGGGTGGTAATTTTTTGTGT